ACTGCTTCACAGTACATCATCTTTCTCCTTTAATTTCTCCTTTTCTTTCCCTTCACCCCTCTGTTTTTTGTCTCCTTTATGTCTCCTCTTTCTTTTTGTCTTTCACACTCTTACACTCCATCATTAACCTCCCACACTACCAGTGGGTGCTTTGTAGAGTTCTCTGTGTGATTATAGTCATTAGTCTGGGTAATATCTAAGCACACACACATAAACACACGCATGCACACACATGCAGTCTCCTACATGTGACATACAGAGGATCCAAGAGCTTTGTACCCATAGAGAATTCTTAGAGTTGATCTCTCAAACTGAGATGATTAAAGATTTTTCAACATTTATTGTTCGGATCAATCAATTTAAAAGGCACATAAGAGATCAGCAGCTTTGATTTTGCCTGTAGCGTAGAATTAATCTTACATCAATAGAATATTTACTTCAAACGATTCTGGATATGTCCGACAGCTGGCATGTTTAAAGCCATACATTATTTTGTTTCATTAACTTCTGATCATAAAACAAAGACACACGGAGGATAATGAGAAAGCACAGACATCTGATGCTAATCTCCTTGCTGCTGCTAAATGGAACAATTTCAGCAGACAAGCTCTAACTCACTGATCATAAACATATAAGGTGAATTTTCCCTGTTCAGTAAGCTGCTTATGGAGTGAATGGACATTAGTGCTGAAATGGTTAGTTGATTTATCAATCAGTAAATGAAAGCTGCTCTAATCAATATGTTTGCATTAACAATGGATCAAATGACTACATGCAATGTGAAAGTTGTCACTCATACTGACAAAACCACAGAGACTTATCACCAGACTTTGCAATTCCCCCCAGCTCTTTGGAGCACTTTAGCATCTTTTAGCTCATTGTTTTGTTTTGTAGTTGTTTCACATGTGTTATCAGTGTTTTGGCCACAGCAGGCAGCTATTTGAAGCTAAAAAAGTTTTAAAAAATAAAATTATAAAATCTGTAGCTATCTGCCCAGCAAACGAAAAACATTTTTTCCACAACACAGAGGAAGTCGTGCCAAGCAATCAATGAACGGTCGGGAGCAGTGGAGCTACTTTGGCATAGTATGTTTTTCCACTGCACTAATGACGTGTTGGAGGTGTGCTAGTCACAAACCACTCTAAAAACTGGTCGCTTGCTGCCCTATATTGTCAACTCTGGCTGTTTCTGTTTGTATCATTCTTCTCAGGAATATTTAAAATTGATCCGCTGACCAAACAGGACAGAATACGACAATATTTGGTTCATTCGACCTGTTTTTATTGAGGAATAGCATGCTAATAAAGCCTTGCTAACTTGGTTATTTACAATAAAAGCATCCGGGAGCTTTCTCTCCTGTCTCCAGCACAGACACACAGGTTAATCTGCTGACCATACAGCTAAATGGAGGTTGTGGTTGGCTCTGGTACCAAGCATGACCACATCCATATGCATTGTTATTGTCAACTGCACCTGTGCGACTTGGATAGGCTTTCATAGTTAGCCTCCATATCTCTTCCAAGTTAACATACTGGAACAGTGTTAGCAGTGTGTTAGCTGTATGCCATAAGAAACATTAAAGCACTGTGGCTCAGAATTATTTCAGTTTCTGTCTTCTCTCACACACTCTGTATCTTACAAGCAGCTTGGCTCGCCATGGCTATCCCCTGCTGTGAGCCTAAAACTTGCAGAATTACTACTTTTTTACTTCTAGCAACTAGCTAGTGAACCTACTCAAGCAGCTAAATTAGGATGTTCCCCTAAAGATTTGGGAGGAGCTAAAAGTAGAGTGAATATTGAACATCAGGTGGCCAGAAACATGACTCTAAATAACTGCTAGTGTTCACTATTGCCTGACATTTTATAGACCAAAGAATAAATTGGGTAATCGCGAAAATAATCTGCATAATCAAGTAATCCAGATGATCATTAGCTGTAGATCTAATGGATGTACATGTTAATAGTACAGGAAATACCGATTTCTTCCAACACCAATGAAAGAAATTACTGATACCGTTCAGTGAATGCAACTGGTGCCTGAAAAACTGAAAGTAGCCAGACCATAGAAGTCCTGTTTTACATGCCAAAGATGGAAGTGATATATAACCACTGAGCCACCAGCTTGCTATCAATCATGGCTCATATCTGGAGGTGGGCAGCTCCATCAGCAGCCAGAGCATCTGCTGGTGGGCGTGGCCTCTGCGACCTGAACAATTTTCTGTTTGATCAGACCATATCGGCCTTGGGTGGAATTTCATTTTAGCCCACTGTTGCTCTTTCTGTGAGATTCTTAGAAATGAGCATCAACAAAAAGGTTGAAAGGAAAAGGAAATATATAATTCATTTCTCCTGTTCCACTTTTTTTTTCTTTTTTTTTTTACATTTCCGGGGCTACTTCCTATTCTGGGATCGTGCTTGTACCAGAGTTTGTCTTTTTGGAAACCATTCCAGATAAGGCCAGTGTAGGCCATGTGAAAGTAAATATTATGTCTTGCATTCAGATATGTCAGAGATTGTGGGACAATTTTAGTATATCTGTTATGTCTTTGTTTCTATAGAAAGACTCATTATCACACCTCTCAGTTTTTAGTTTGCCTGCTAATTTATGGTTAATCAGAAAGAGAGACATGTAAACAGAGAAGCAGACTGAGAGAGAAAAAGTGATAAGAGACTAACTTCTGTATGAGTCGACTTTGGCCTTTCCTTGCTCTGAGAAACAAGATGCAGCTGACAGCCCGAGCCCTTCTTGCTCCTCCCTCCCCCCACCTGCTTGGCTTGCTCTGTTATTTGAATTCCTCCAATGTGACAAGAAATGGAGCTATCAAAAAGAGAAGGGCCAAGGCCATGATGCACACAACGCCCACTAGGCATTTCTTGTGTCACATTCAGTATTCACAGCATTCACTTCAGTATTTGCAAAAGGGTGCAAAATCCCTGCAGAGCGAAAGTCTAAACATAAGCTTATTCTGTGAATAATTTATGATTTTGTACTAAATGAAAACATTTCTTTTACTTAATGACTCAATCACTAAGAAAACAAATCACATTCAGTTTTGCATGATATTTTATACTCATTGAAACTACAGAACCAAAGACTAATGTCTTATTTCATTCAACTAATCTTAACCGACCAGTTTAGTCACACTTTTTCAACAATAACTGCTGTGATTTATACAGTCTGACTTCTAGAGAGAGTTGAATATAAACTGGCATGCCTCACACATGCTTAGCATTAAAAATATGCTATTATGTAAGCATAGTCAATAGATGAGTAATGTAAAATTTGGGGGACAGGAAATTAAGGACGTGAAGTAACATAGACTAAATATTACAGAATGCTGTAGGAGTACGAGTTGAATTAAACTGCTGCAGCCCTTGTGTGTGTTTGGGAACGCGATTTGGGTGCATCATTTGATGAATATGATAAATGGAACGAAATCTAAAAGCATTCTGTAGCCCAAGGGGAGCTCATTAGTACATGTAATGTGGACATGCCCCAAAAACCATTAATTCTGGATGATGATTCACTGTTATATTTGTGAACATCACAAGTGTGCAGTTTGTATTCTATCCAGAACTTTATATTTTAGGAGACAATTAAAGCACAATTAAAAAGCCAGCAGCCATTAATCCAGAAAAATACTTTGGGCTTACATACAGTAGTTGTCCCCTTCACAAAAATTAATAAATGGATGTCAGCTGAAATACTGAGACAATGTGAAATAATGGCAAAAAAAACCACTTCGGGCTGGTACAATGACGGCCAGGTACAAATCTTAACATGTCATTGAAAACATGAGGTAGACCTACGATACACAGAGTAAGAAATCATATTTTATATATTCTATTACTGAGGACATGTTGTCATGGAAACATCCTGTAATTAAATAATCTGATTTGTGAGAGATGTTTATTGTACAATGAATGAGGCCTGGGAAGGTCCAGGTCTCCGGATAATCAGATAGTGATATTGGATTTCATTCAGGCTGACGAAGATTGTCCGCAGGGATAATGCTGTTTTCAGCTCCGTGGATGTGGGCATCCATATGTCTGCATCTTTCTGTGCTCTTTTCCAAGGCTTCGATCCACTGCTGCCGTGGACAGATACTCACCAACTGTGGCCAAAATACTGACTCACTCAAGGACACTGAGTGGACAGTGTGAGATATCACTGTGTCAGGCAGCTTCAGTCTACAATCTGCCTAACTGTGCTGAACCTGTTATTTCTTCAAGGCAGAGGAGAGTTTTATTCTGTTAACCATGTTTTTATTTTAACTAATGGATGTCTGCATCCTCTATTGTAACTGGCTATGATTTACCATGATTATTTTACTACATACATAGATATCACTTTGTCCAGCTACTCCTGCTTTCATCCACAACACTATCTACTGTATATGATACCATCTAGGGCTAGGCAACAAAGCAGACAACATTTCATGAGGTTGGTGTTTGGTTTTTAGTGAAATATATATTCTTGACAACGTTTACTGAGATTGTCATGACATTTGGTACAGATAGCTGATCCAATACTTTGGGTTATGAATAATTACCTGCAAGATTAATGGCATTCCAATGAATCATTTTGTTTAGTGCTAATTATCAAACACTAACACGCTAAAACAAAATGGTAAACGTGATCATGAACATCAGCATGTTAGCGTACGGTCATTTTGAGCATATCAGCATACTGATGTTAGCATTTAGCTCAAAGCAATGCGGTGACTCACACTGTAATTGTTCAGTGTGAATTGTTTTGAGTGGAGTATCTTCTGGTTTATTTCATTGGAAAGTCTGGAGTCTGGCATGCTTCATTAGAAATAAACTGGATTGGAAAACTGATGGTCATGGAAAACTGATTGTGATGTTGGGCTAAACTCGTCACGGAGCCAAAGACACTGTTGCAATAGCAAAGTACCACATTAAAATTCAAATCTTTTTAATAACCTGTGTCGTTTCTGTTTTTGGTAACAGGATGCTTTGCTATTTCTGTCCCACAGGTACCTTCATCTCAGCGTTCACGGTGCTGTGTGGAGCTCGCAGTGAGTTGATCTCCGAGCGAGGTGTTTGTTGTGTGTTCTGGCTCAACGTGGCAGCAGCCCTCATCCAGATACTGACAGCTGTTATCATGGTTGGATGGATCATGAGTATCTTCTGGGGAATGGACATGGTCATCCTGGCAAGTCAGTACTTGTCTAGCTGTGTTTATCTTTCTGTCTGACAGTGTTCTCTTCGGTTCTCTTCACTTCTCTTTCTTTTATTGTAGTCTTTGTCTCCTTTTCTTTTGTTTGTCTGTGTCACGCGTGACATCCTGAGTTCAATGTCCATCCAAACAACTAGACAACTTCCACAACATAAAAATCAACTTAAAATAGCCTACTTGTGTAAAAACTCAGTGCCTACAGGGCCTGTAGAGATGTGGGAAATATTGTAGGTCAATGAAACTTCACTCTCATATGATAGTTAAATATGTAAAGTTCAGTTTTTAGTTAGATATTTAAAAGATAATTTTTAATAATAATTTTCCCCCACTTCAGGGCGGTTGTGGTCGTGGACCTAAAGTTGCATTAAAAGGATTCATTTGGTGACATAAACATAAGTGTTTGATGCTAGCAAATCTATTATGCAAACCTAAATATTGTTTATATCAATCACCTACATTCTTAATGATTGATAAAATTAAATCCAGTTTTGCTGGGGTGGGTAGGCGTGAACTTTTGTTGGGTTCTGAAGGGGGGCGAGACAAAACATTTTTGACAACCCACTGCTTTATTACAATATACATACAATAAACATAGCTTATTTTGACTCAGTCCTACACACACTGCCCTGCTGATGTCAATACTCACTATGCACCAAATGTGTATTAATACCATGCTGATTATCCTTAACAAATGCACTATTTATTCGTAACATTTACAGTAAACTACTGTGTCGGTTCATAAGACGTGTTATCTGACAACATTGAAAATCAAAAGTGTTGGTTAGGCCTAATTATTTTTCCGAATGGCCTCACTGGAAGGTGTCATAGACGCAACATCATTTAAATACAAGGATAATGTTGCACAGTTTCGCACAGTCTCTCTTGGAAGACATTCATAGTTTTGCACTTGGTTGTTTTCATAAAAACTAGGAGAAATAGAGAAATAGAGAAATAGAGAGCTGGAGTGACTCACCCCTGCACAGCTGGCCAATCACGACGGGAAGTAGGTGTGAATGTCGGATTGTCCTTTCTTTTCATGGGATTATCCTAGCAGCTCTGCACAATACTTGTTTGTTTAAAGGCTTTTATATTTTTCTTGCACAAACATCAGCTTTAAGAAAGAATGAAAAAAGAAAGAAAAACAAGCAAAGGTAGATGCAGATAACATTGATTGAAAGGTTGGGTAATTTTACCGCCCTCTCTGTCAGAAAGTAGTGTCCTTTCCTCGGGCATTGATGCATGATAAGTGCGAACAAACACACACATACTATCTTCCATCACACATAATGCATCCCCTAGCCCCTTTACCTACCTTAACTGTTACAAAGAAGTGCCTAAACCTAACCCAATTCTAACCCTAAAACCAAGTCGAAACCTAAAAAAGCACTTTAAAATGTGGGGTTTAGCATTTTCGTCTGCACAAAGCTGTTCCCGGTTTTTGAACCCCAGGAATATAGTAAAACAAGCCCATGTACGCACACAAAGAGTCACCGGTCTATCATTGCACAAGGCAGCCTTTGAATTACCACAGCACTGACTCCTTTTTTGTGTCTGAGTGTGCCTATGTGAGGTAATTGCTGCCTGCATGTGCACCAAATGTGCGCCTGCAAGAATGTGTGTGTGGTACAGTAATTGTGTGTGTGGGAGTAAGCAGCACCCCTGGTGTGTTTTTGTTCACTTCTCCCCACTGTTTCAGGCCTCTGGGCGCACGTCTTATTCAACTGTTGCTGCTATAATCTACATTCTTGTTGCCGCTCACAGACAGCAGCGTACTGAATATTTATATTGAACAGGAGAACCATTTTCCCTTGTAGCGCTGAAGGCCTGATTCTCAGGCTGAAATCATGTATCCTGTTTGCTTCTAAGATCAATTATTATTCAACTATTCATCACCACTAGCACAGCACATCTTTGTAGCTTTGGGAGTTATGTTCTTATTTAGCTACTCCCTTCTTTCTTCCTCCATGCAATGAATCACTCTGATAATGTGGCATGTTTATCAGTTCCCTCTTTAATGAGCCTGCGTTGCATACGATCAATGCTGCTGCCTCTTTCTCTATCTAATGATTGTTCCCATTGCCATATCCTAGCTCCCTCTTCTTCTCTCTCTCTCACTTTATTCCTCCCACTCTCTGCCCGCCCCACGCACGCTCAGTTTTTTCTTAAGTTTTTACTCGTTCCAGTCTCCCTCTTTTCCCGTCTCTGCGTTTCTTCTTATTGATCTGGCAAACTGGGGTTCTGTTACTGCGTTTGAGGTCATTTGATCACGTAATGTATCTGAATTAAAGCGAGGCTTGAAAGTTACTGATCTGGGGAAATTTCTCTTTTGAAATTTTGCCTGTTTAGTGTTACTTTTAATACCTTCAACTTCACAGATATTCCGTGACAATACTTGAAAATGATTTAACAATAAAACTTGTGGTTTTCATCACTAACTGCCTCTCTTGTCTCTTCTCTCCTCCCTCTGCTCTCCTTCTCCATGAACCAGTTTCTGATGGTAAGTGTTTCTCTTTTACTCACCCACTAACAGTCCCACAGTGAGATGATAAAGTTGTGGTGATGTAGAAGCATGTCACAGGAATTGTGTCACAGAAGAGTCAGCATGACTAAATTTAACAGATAGAGTAAGCCAAGAAAACATCAAATTCCCATGCTTAGGCAATACTTATAAATTTAGAACTTTCTCATGATCTTTTGTCAGGGCCGTACAGTAATCACATATTGTGTTTTGTATCTTCACAGAGTGAGCCTGAATCTCATGAACTCAAGTATTAAAAGTAAATTCTTGACCATGGAAATAGTAGACCACTTATTACATCCTTTCAACATGTATCCCATGCTCTTTGTCAATGGATGGAGTTTGCTGAACTCGTGTCATGGAGACAGCTTTGTTTACACACCTCGTACATGTTGGCTTAAAAGTTATGAAAAAAAAGATGTATTCTTGATCTTGACAAAAAGAAATAAACTGGTCCGATTACTAGCTTTTTCCAGAGCGTGTATCACAGGTTGCTCAGGAGTTCCATCTGGTGATGAAGACCATGTAATAGGGTTGAAAATTGCATGACAACTGAGCAACCTCTGTCCGCTGATTAAGGTGGATGGTGTGTGTGCGGTTCAAAAGTTCCAGAAAAGCTAAATGGTTTAGATGAAGATTTGACTCACCTACATATTGAACTTTTAGCAACAGCATTGCCCCACAATGCTTGAAGTTGTCAAAAACTTCACAGGGTATCTTTACAGGTAAGGATTAAAGGTAGGGTTGCTCAGTGTTTCTGTAACAAAAGGACTTGTTCATCATCTATTTGAAATGACACTCGTCCTAGCTAAAGGCCTGCTGATCCTTACCCACAATGAGTGAAGCATAAACTGCGCGCTTTGTGACAATGTTGTGATTTTAGAAATGTTGGCTCCTTGATAAAAGAAGTTTCTTATTCGTCACTGACAGAGTTAAAATTTCCAATTCATTTGAAACCATAATATGAACCAGACTAGTATTGTTTGCCTCTTTGCCATAATTTCCAAACCTTGTCAGCCAATACTTGATACTGCATTAGCTCTTAATGCTGCAGCCTAGCTTCCTTTTGGTTGTTACCAACGTCTTTGCTTTAAATTCTCTCAATTAAATGAAATGGAGAAAGGAATTACTGTCAAACGTCCAAAATAAATGTTTAGTAATTGCATGTAGCTCTTTAAAAACCTCTTAACTGGGGCCATAAAAGCCTGAAGCCAGATAATAGATGTTATAATTGTTATTTTTTCAAGCTTTCAAAAGGCTCTCTCTTTTTTTCTTCACACTTCCTCAGGCTATAGAGACCAGGGTCTTCCTCAGGATGTGTGAGAGAGGCTGCTCTCATGTTTGCTGATTCATTACACCTGATGGGGACCTTTACCTTTGTCGTGACCTGTAGCTGTCTGTCTTTCAAATGACAAGAGACCTGAAAATAAATTAGCTACATGGAGAAAGGAAGAATCAGCTGACTGCTCTGTGAGAAAAGGCTGCTGATCGTTTGAGACCTGGCCACATAAATCTGTACAGTCACAAGAAATACAATGGAAAAGGAAAACAATGTGTTTGTCTTTTGTTGAGTGATCATAACAGTGCTTCATGAATTCTTTCAATGTTTTTTATTTGATATATGTGACAAAATACGTAAATCTGTAAAAACGTGTGGAGCAGACTACATGTTTCCTGCATGACAGCATGGACTAAATGAAGAAGGAAGGACAATGTACTGACATGAAAAAATTAGGATGTTGATTGGCAAACTTTACTTCTGAATTTTTGGCTTGTGAATTTTGCCAGTTGAAAACAAACAAACAAAAAACTTCAGCAGTTGCTGTATATAAAATTGTTGCTGTATGAGGTGTAATTAACTGAATGATGCATTACATGTTCTTGCTCTCATAACAGTCTTTCCAGAATCAGGGTAACCAGAGTTTCCACTGGGCGTGAATTGGCTGCCTGGTGCAGCTGCAGTTTAATTCAGAGTTTTTAGATTTATTGTCACATGGTCTGTAAATATCCCAACTTTAGCGTTAGCCTGCTTTAGTGGCCTTTCTATTGTGATACAAACACCACATCGCTGCTCTAAAAAGGTACAATAGGTTTAACTTTTAGTGACTATAAAACATCCTCCATCTAAATTTTTAGGAAAAAATGTATCATCTCATTAAATAGCCAGTACTGCATGGCTGCTAAATTTAACAATCACTGAGTACAGAATCAGCAGCTATTCAAACAACGGCTGTGGAGTAAACATGTCTTCCACCGGAGCGTGTGATCAAACTATAAATGGCTCTGATTATTCAGATTTTCAATAGGTTTAGATTCAGGTATAGTATTTTTCTTTTCTGGCAATGTTTTACTGCAACAGCAAACACATCTTTAAAACACTATATCTTACTGCTGCTGCTGATGTGTGTCACCTTAAAATTACAGGGCTGTGTTGAAAATGACTCATGCCTCCTGACAAATTGATTTGATTTGAATTTCACACCTCTTAAATGTGTAAATCAGTGTCAAAAGGATATTACATATTAGTATAAAACTGTGTCTAATTAACAGCTCTCAAAATATCCACTCTCAGTATTGGCCACCCTGGGGAACCATAGTCACCCCACCGTCTGTAACATACAGATACATACAAACAAAGATACAGCTACAATGAAGCCACATCCTTTTGTGACTCAGGTCCTTTGTTTGACTATTTTTAACTTGTTCAATAAGTGTCACATCCATGGTAAGTCAAACATTCCCATAAGCAGTCTGAAACACCAGCAGAGATTAATATTAAAAATCTGACAATTTTTAGGTTGATGAATCCACTGTTTTGTGTTTACATTGTGTAGATAATATATATATATATATGTGTGGGTGATAGTATGCAATATTGGAAATGTACATTGTCGAATATGTGGTAAAACTACACAGGGGGTGGTCTGCAGGTCATAGGTAAAGATGGACAATTCTATCATTTAAAAATATTTAACAACTGAACAACAAAAACAACTGCCTTGGAACTGCTGACCATAACAAAGCCTTCCCCGTGATGCCACATCAGCTTCCTCACGCACTGAATCATTGGCTCACTTCCCTGAAACATATACAAGAGTATCAGAAGTCAAAGAGCCTTAAACAAGCTGAAAATGAGTGAGCCATTTAACAAAATGTTACTTACTGTACATCTGAAAAACAGAAATGCAGATTATTACCTCTATTGTAATGTGGAACAGATTCAGAAAATGGCATGCAGCATTGCTGGGAAAAAAGTTGAGATGGATTTATTCATGGTGAAATCCCACTATTGATTGTGCCTCTACAGAAATTCATGTGCATAATTCAAGATGTGATTTTACCCTCTTCTTTATTAGATTTTCTACCGGTGATGTATCTCTTTGTTTTTTTTTATAATCCCTGTAGTTTTTGATTATCTTCATTATCTTAGCCAAATGCCTTTTTAAAGAGTACTACATAATATAAAGAGTAATGTTTAGACCTGCTCTATATGAAAAGTGCTCCAAGATAACTTCTGTTATGACTTGGCGCTATGTCAATAAATTTGAATCGAATACTGTATTTTGGATGACAACAGCACTGTTTTTGTGTTTTAGTATATAATAGTGTTTGTGTGTGAGACAGATGATGATGACGGTGATGATGATATTTTATGCCTTACATAAGTATTTTTGTAGCAGTGATACTAGAGTTTCTTTGCTTTGTTTGGGTTCAGTTTATAGATCTGAAATAATTGTTATTTGGATATTTGACTATAATCTACCTTTCAGCCCTAAACACTGATTCTACTTGTGTTTCAGGGGGAATATTGACTAACTGAAATGTTTTTTTTTAAAATGATGGTGGTGTTGTGCTAGCTTTTCAGTTGTAGAATGAACATACTGCCATGTACAGTTTTCTGCATGCATAGCTTTGGTGTGAAGTCACTGTATAAAGTAACACACACACACAAACACATACACACACTAACGTAACTATTTTGAGATTGTAGCGTAGTTCTGTGACTTAGCAACACTGGTTTTAAGCTGTTTGAGATGACTGATGACAAAACATTGCTATTAAAAAATGTTTGGGTTCTAATAACTGAATAATTGTGACTGAATTGTGCATGTTTTTGATTGGACGTGAGCCTTTATCATTACATACAATACATTTTAAACTTGAGCAGCAGATTTAGTGCTCTGCTCAAGGACTCCTCAGAAGTCAACATGACAGTGTTGTGTGTATTTCCAGCTAGTTGAGGGATTCATCCTCTAAGCCACACAGACATAAGCAGATTGTTTACCCTGTCGCACTGAACAACTCCCTGTTATTCATAGCAAAATCAGATTAGCAATAATCCTTGCAGGATCCAGCGCAACATAGGACTTGCTCTAACTGAGGTCCTACCATAGACTGTATGTAAGAAGTGGACGTAGTCATCGTGACGTCACCCGTTGGTTTGTGGACTGCCGTTTTGAAGCCTCGAGTTTGGCTGATGAGGTTTTGGACGAGACAGTGGAGCTAACGTCCGTGTGTGGAGCAAGCTAGCTTGCTTAGCTAGGTGCATCTGTAATTCAACTTAACTGTCAAAACTGACAATTTTGTCTAGTGAACAACCGTCTTAAAACTAAATGTAGTCACCAGAGAAAGTGGTCAACTCCTAATAGGCTTTTTCAACAGCGTTGGTTCAATTTACACAGTGCCGTGGGTACAAGTCACTCTAGCCTGATTGACAGGTCACCATGGTAATGACTTGTCAATCATAGATTATCCCTCCTTTAAGCATACTCTGCTTTATGGTCTATTTTCCTCTAAACGGGACCATAATTTACTAAAAGAATATCGTGTTGTAAGACATGAAACTAGTGACTGAGACCAAAAACTCATTAGGAAAGTGTTTACTGTGATAATTATTCAGCTGAGAAGTAGGGTCATTTTACCATTATTTCTAATGGAGCCGGACTTCTTTTTGCAACCCGAAAAAGAAGCTTCCCACTTGGGTCCGACATTCTCATGGCTGCGCTGCATTGACCCATATGGAAAACGTTTTCTAGCTTTTTCTAGCTGTATCTTTCCAAGATATGGTCAAAGCTGTTCCTGGGGGTAATAGTTACAGTCGCTACCCAGAGAGGTTGAAAGCATGAATTATTCTCTTTCTAAAACCTAAAATAAATCCAGAAAAATGTAGGCTGTGGATTTTTCCTAATGTAATGTTAGTTAGCTAACTCTAGCTAACATACTACTGAATGTAACGTTATATAGCCCTACTGTTCTGCTTTTAAAGATTGTAATAGTGAATAGAGACCTACCCAGCTTTACAGGAACAATGTTGATCCTTAATATCGTTGTCCTCTTTCTCAATAGTGAGGTAATACGTTGGTTCACTTGTACACTGGGATCAGTAGGTTCATGTCAGTTTGACAGCCTGAATACAACCTACAAATGCAGAATGCAAACCTTTCCGTCTGCTTCTTTCTGAGATCACTTTTTCCAAAATTTATAAAATATTTCTCCAGGGAGTGCAGTAATAGACAGTGGCAGCGCCGTGATAAAAGTCAGACAGTTTGTCGGACTTAGCAACAGTAACTAAGGGGGGCGTAGCTTAGCAAAGGGTCAATTGTCAACTGTCCCTACAGAGATAAGACTTTTTTTTAAAGAGAAAGATCCTTTTTGTTTAACCAGAGACAGTCAATATATCGTTTTTGACAAAGCCACCAGACTCCATTGACAAAAACAGTAATTTTTAGGTAAGAACCAGGTTGAAAAAATTAAATTAAATTAAAGTTACCGTTTAATTGCTTGAGCAGCATTGATGCATGCATCTGTTTAAACACAATTTTTAGTCATGGTAGCGGTGTGGCTCCAGTGATGGCAATATCCATCGGTCAGTCCACCAATCTGGCCAAGACTGAAATACCTCAACAATTACAGTGGTCCCCAGAGGAAACATCCGAATGACTGTGACAATTCCTTGACATGTCATCTAGTGTCATGAAGTTGACATTTGCTACAGTAAGATGGTAAACATTGTTGTAGTGGTTTTCTAATAAGTGCTGCAATGTCTGCAAACTTAACTGACTCCAACTCGGCTGTGTAACAGACAAACCAATTCCTATATCCAGACATTTTACCTTTGCTTTTGCTGCTTCATTTATTGCTTAAAGATAGTTACACATTTTCTTGAATCCAGGTAGAACAAAATCAGTCACACTGCTGTGTAGCTTTACCAAATTTGAGCCACTGCAGACACCATGGGCAAAGGTAAAAAAACTGTATGGTTCATCTGGCATGCAACACTGCCTTCCTGCATAAATGCAGTCCCATTATAACTACCACCCAGTGTACAAAACCATATTACACCTAAATCAACACAAAGGCAAGCTAACGGCTCTTAAAATTATACTAAACATAAGCATGTTATCATTGTCATTGTGATGTTAGCATGCCAACATTTCCAACATTTAGCGTGCGGCTGTAGCCTTGTTAAATGAGGTCAATGGTCCATGTGGTTTCTGTGGGAACTATATTTTTTATTGCCTTATACACTTTCTGTCTTTATTCAACAGCAGGTAATACCTAAAATGGGATGTAATTTACTAACTTTTCATGTGGTAGAAATGGCTTCTCACTAAAAAACATATAGTAAGATCATTCCCAAGAGATTATTCCCAAGTTAGACACAATTTCCTGCAATTTCCAAAAAACAAAGAGCATGGGAAGCCTCAATGACCAATATTCCAAATACAACCAGAGGAATGTGTGAATCTCTGGTTAGACATGAAGTGCCGAATACATTGCACTTGGTGAGACTCTCAATTAAAACAATTCTGCAGCTCAGCTGAGAACCACCTTGTTCAGGCTTCTTAGGTTAGGAAGTGAGCTTATCTAAATTAGCTTAAAGGCTCAGAAGTGCGCTTCTTGAGCACTCCACACTAAAAATGAATAAAAACAGTCTCATTAACCATCTGCACGGGGATGCTGGTGATGAGGACAGAAAAGATGCACACTGACAAAAACTGGTAAGTGTTGTGAGAGTGTTTGCCTTTAAGAATTGTGCCCATACTTGCTGAATGTCCTCTCTCACCAAATAAGGATTTCTCACTGCTTGCTCTTTCTGACCGGACAACTAGGTGCACAACATCCCCCCTAACACTCCCACTACTCCCTCCGTAGTGTAAACACAACCAGAGTTGTTTCCATCTCAGCTCAGTATCAAAACACATTCAGGTCATTGAGATGTAACGCAGTGACAACACCAGTTGGAAAACCCCAACTGGATTAAAACCAGCCATCTGCCTTTAAACTATCTTGGGTCCTGACCTCTTGGTCAAGATATTAAGTCTGGGATTAAATGTGGTTTCCAGAAAAAAAGTTCAGGAAAATGTATTATGAGAAAACAGGAGATGGTATTTGACTGGAATTAATGAAATTGCAAATCTCTTGGCAAGCTCATGCTTCCAGAAGAATATTAAATCCTTGCAGTACAAATATATACTTAATAAATGCTGTAGATTATTAGGTTGGCAGACACAAAATGAGGGCACTTTGTTTAACAAGCTTATTCAATATACTTTTTGTATTATATATTTATTACTCAAATATATTGTTTGCTGAAGCATTTCAGTGGTGAAGGCTCTGTTGGCCTCGACACATACTATTCCACAGTACTATCACTATCATATTTGAGTCTACATGCAACTGACCATTTTTGCTTTGTGTAATCATTTCTCACTCTAATTTCTCTTACAATCTGCTCACAGGATATTGTCCAGTAAAGCAGAAATGACATATTAGACATCTTACACTAAATACAGCCAGCTGAGATTATCCGCCTGGCTTCAGGCTGGTTGGGGTTTGTTCTTTTGTTGGGATGGTGTCATTTCAGGAACTGCTGGAGCCTTTTTCTGGGCAACCTATTATAGTCACTGTGTGTAAAAACAGCGCCTTGTGCTGGACACTGAGGTAAATTACAACCAGTGGTGTCCCCAGAAATCTTTCATAAAGTTTAACAATATGGGAAATCCGCTGAAAATCTTGGGGTAAATTAATAGTACTTAATGTAAATATCAGATAGCATATTATGCAAACAGTACTCAGTTCTCTTTAAAAAGTCTTTAGTTTCTTGCCTTTGAAAGTTACTTTAAGGTCGCAAGTCAACCATGGGCCTCTTTAAAATACCAGTACTCAGTTTTGAACCCAACAAAAAAACAACTAAGATCTCCACAAAAAGCAAATAAAAGTGGATCCTCCTTAGTTAAGTTTCCTTTGATTTTGTTCCTAAACAAAATTCAGCCCGCACACAAGTGTACAGAACAGTTCTCACATGGTCCGATTTTTTTCTAACCCTAACTGTCTACTGCAAATAAATCTTAATGCTATCTAGCTAACTTTAGGTAGCTAACTTACCAGTATAATCAACTTAATTGGGAAGAAACACCAGAGGAGTTCGTCCTGACGATATCCTCTCTCTCAACAGCTATTCTCCAGCATAGCAGGTTTCTGTCTGTGGCAATACTGCCAGCTCCACTGTTTCACATCTTGGAAATCTTAGTTTAGAAATGTCTTAATTCACTCTTGTCAACCTAACTTAGCTTCTGTCTCACTAGCCAGGCTGACCAAGCAAACAAGAAAAAGCCTGCACCCTTTCTAATGACCAGCAGGGGGCAACTCCACTGGTTGCAAACAAAGTCCAAATGTATACAAGTCCATGACAAAACAGCCCTACTTTTCACTTGATCCACTGCTTCAGCAAACACTTTCCTAATGAGTATGTTGTCTGAATCACTGGTTTCAAGTTTTCTTCAATACAGCATGATGTTTGTTGTGAGAGATGATAAAGCAGGGTATGTGTTAGGGCATGACTACTTTTAGGGAGCATCTGTAAATTGAGGCTGCAGAAAAATAACCTTGGTTACACACAGTGCTCAGAAACATATAATGCATATTTGACTCGTGAGAGAGACCAATGGGAGGGCCAGCAATGGTATTAGGAGGCCATGGCACCCCCTCGCCCCATCCTTGGGGGCGCCCCTTATTATAGCAGGCTGTGAGTTTAATGCTGAGTTTAACGCACAGTCAAGAGTGTAACTCAAGAGGAAAAATGGAGAGGAACGTGTCTATCTACATGCACTCAGCCACAGCCACTCACTTTCCTGCGCATGTGTACTGGCATGAGTCATTTGGCAGGATATTTGAGTGTACACACGTATATTCTGTGAATATGTGTTGTCATTTCCCCAGGCTCTCGCCAGTTCATCCACTGCTGGGCAAGACATTGCTGAATAAGGAAGCAAAACCTCTCTCTCCGTACTGTATTTTCTATTCTAACACACACATCACAACCTCTTAACCAGCAGCCCAATATACATGGACAATATCAGTAAATATATATATATAGAAAGAGATCTATGTTTTTTCAGGGGCACTGACACACTACTTTATGTTTCTCTGAAGAGCTACAGTCCTTTGAAATGGATTGAAAGTATCAAGACCACACACACAAAACCACAGAGCCATATGACAAGTATAATCAAACATTTACTCGTTTCATACAATGTCTTTATCACAACATTCAGTAAAGAACGCATTTCAATTACATTAATTGAAACCATCTTTTTTGCCAAGTCTTGATATGAAATATAAAGTTGAGATTTCTAGCAAAAAAAAACTCCCACTGGAAACTACAGGCACCTTGTTTTTTAGTCCCCATACTCATTTCTCAGCTTCACGCCAGAGAACGTCATAACAGTATTCACACAGCAGAGCGGTGAGAACTTTCAGTTACTCAACAGCCAGGTGAGGGAGGATCCGAGAAGCGCTTGGAGAGATAACCTAACTCGAGGAAGCAAGGTGAGCCTGTGGGCCGACCTTGTGCGGTATCAGGATGAGCTTCTTCAATCCAGGTAATTCATTAACATTCATAACTGAGCACAAGCCCTGTGTTGATGTGGTGTGTGCTCAGTCTTTCTGTCAGACCTCATCCTTTGACAGTGAGCAACGTGGATCCATAGGCTTTCATTTCTGTAAGTTTTGACAACCTCCTACTAACAGTTGAATAGAGAAAAATCATGCTTTGGTACTACAAATGCACAAATTCACAATGCCAACATTTGTTAGTAATCACCTGGAATTCGTGAGCTAAATCTCACCCATATGGATAGTTTGAAAATCACAAACTAAAATCATGTAAAATCATGCTTCAACCCAAGGTTCATTAACACATATTGATGCTGAATGCCATGTTAATTGTCACTTGAAAAAGGTAGTTTGAAAGCTATAGCCATTGAAATCTGGGTGGCTACACTGATACAGAAAGCACACTACACATACATGAGTTTAAAGTCCAACCGTGTGTGAATGTTGACAAATTCCAGTTTGTCACATTTTCTACAAATGGCTAGATTAATATAAACTTGATCACTTGGCAAAATTGTGACTTTAACACTGAATCTGTCTCTAACAAATGTTCTTATCAAAACTTGAACATTTATTTTGCTGTCTACATTTTGACCAATGCTTATAACCCATATCTAGACAATCTAATCAAAAGCAATAGAAACAGAAATATTTGTGACCCAGACATTGGTCCTGGTCAATACTGTGACTACCAATATACTGTATTAACCCCATTTTTTTCTGACTGTTGGTTTACATTTCCAACTAGAGTTCAGTCCTCTTTGTTAATTCAATCAATGTTTCATGTTTTCATCCATTATGTTTCTGGCAGATGGAAAACTGGACAGCTGGTATGATATTTTACCAAAGTTCAACAAAACACAGCAATGCAAAAACACACAAAAATGCAAGAATCATCTTGGAAACATCAGAGAAAAAATTTCAAACTTTTTACATTCATTTTACCCCGGAACTACTGTACGCAAGGCTGTTTGTTTCCCTCCTTCCATCCACCCCCCACCTCTTCACAGTCTGTCCTCTCAGGGCCATATATAGACTTCGGCCTTAAAGCACTCCAGATGCCATGTTGCTGCCTCCTCTCAAACTAAGAAATGACAGCTGCAAGTATGTGTTAGTGCTTTTCAGAAAACTCATCAGCGGTTTGCCCAAAATGGGAAAGATAAGCTGGTGCTCGATGATCAGTTGAGGGCGGGTAACATGGCATCAGCTCAGCAGTTCCGCGTCTTCACCGCAACCTCACCATTGACTTGCACTTTGCCTTTGGCCCCAGGAACTGTCCATCAAATTGCCTGACACTTGGGACTGGCTTAGGCTGAGTGGGAGGGCGGTGTGCGGCCTTCCCAGTACTTCTGATAGGCTGTATGGAACATGTCCTTACACAGGAGCTTCGCATTCAGCCGGGAGCAGATAAGAAACGAGCCGCCCATCTTACGGTGGAGCGAGTACGTCTCCTCGGGAGGTGGGGTGAGCCGGTGTTTGAGCATCACAGGGATGAGGTTGTGGATTCTCTCGGTGGTGGACTGGGAGCCAAACTCGAAGGTGTCTGTGGAGGCGAAGGCCTCACCAAGGATCATCACTGCATCCACATGGGCATTTATCATTGTCTGAGACACAGAGAGGAAACACCACTTTGCATATTTAGTCTCCGCTAAAGACAACATTTGCTGTAGAAACACATTTTGGTACTGATATATTTGCATATTTGTCATTGCAGAATAGAGAGAAAGAAAGACAGAGATTTACCTTTGACTCATACCCAGTCAGGAACTTCATCTCAATAGATTTCTTCAGAACTCCCTCTCTGTCGCCCACAGCAGCTGAACGGATTACCTAATAATAATAATAACAACAGGTTATGAATGTTACCACCATCACTTCAGTGTCTTTCTCTCCATCTCTGACACGTGTTGTGCATGGCAAAAATAATATGTATAACTGGGGTATTTTCACAAGTTCTGACTTGACATGATACTTCCAACACAATCCTCTATGATTATAAAGTAATAAAAACTAAGATTGAGGCTGACGAGTCTTACCTCTATGTAGACATCTGTGAAACTCTGATCAAATCCTCTGGTGGCTCCAAAGTCCAACAGTGCCACCTAGAGAGATACAATGCCCAAATCTCACTCTCAATGCTGCACTAATAAATTTGAAGTCAACTCTGGTAACAGTAGTATTTAGCCTGCAGACAGACTCACCCTGTGTGTCTGTGGATCATAGAAGAAGTTGGACCAGTTTGGGTCAGTCTGCATGTACCTGAACTCAAACAGCTCTCTGAGGCACAATACCAGGATGTTCTCACAGATCTGAAACAGAAAACAAACATACACATATAAACATATACATTCTATCGTTGTTTACTGGTATAATGAATGTCATATTATGTGTATTAATTTCAGCATATATTAATGCTTGGTGTGGAAAGCAGGGAAAAGACAGGGACCTCTATGTATTTACTGACCAGACTAGTTCTCCGTCTCCCACAACTCCCATCCCCCCTGCCCCAAATATGTTAATTAACGCTTTCCTCCTCAGATGAATGCACAACAGTCTGTTTTGAAAGCTGTACCTCGTTCTTCAGCTCCTGCGTGAGGCTCTCAGCCTGGTCCAGGGGAAACCCAGGGACAAGCTCTGTGGTCAGGACATGGCTACTGCTCAGCTCGTCTATCACCTCTGGTACATAGAAGAACGGGTGGTCCTTCAACAGCTCCCTGGGTCAGACAGATGAACAGACACATGAGTGCATGGGCAGAGTGCGTGTAGGTAAGCAGGTATACAGGGAGGCAGTCAAGCAAAGCATTTCATTTAGTCCAAATAAAATGATTGGCCATACTTACTACAATCCTGCGACAGTCGCAGATTGTTTTCATTTTTGTGAGAGTGCACTTGACTGATGAGTTTCATATATATATATAGATAGTAGTTGTAGCTGTTCTAACCTTGAACCAAAATAACTGAGGAAATGGAATGAGCTAACTATAGATTTTTGGATATGAACCTATCTTTGTGTATATAATTTGAGTGTAACACGAGTCACAGTACTGCCATGTGTGAGGGACAGCACATTGCAATCACTGCAGCAATAGTGCTAGAGTCAAGCCGTGGTTTTAACAAGGACATAAAAGTAAAAGTTCAAATACTTGTTAACATTTCGGAATCCGTGGAGTAGATGGCTTCAGTAGCTACTACGGGTTTCTGGGGGCAGTTGGGACCGTCAAAATTACATCCACAAAAAGGTTCTTTTTGCCACTGACAGGCTCAAACTTTTATACGAGGTGTAGGACAACATCATGGAAAGGATGAGTGACTCCCAGTGGCACCCTTTGTTTTTAACATGAAACAGAAGTCTCACTCAAGTACATTTCTTTCTCTGAAAAAAAAGTTGTTGCAGGACACGCTGGGTGAAACGATGGAGAGGAGTTTGTTGTGTACAGAGAGGAGCTGCTAGCAAGACTATTTCCCAACAACAACAATCTCCTCTCTCCAACTCTCTTTTCCACCGTCATCTTCCTGCATCATCCTGCCTCTCACAAGATTTCAGAGAGAGAATTAGCCATGGCCGAGACTTCTGTTTCTTGTTACAAATAAAGGGTGTCACTGGGAGTTGTAGAAAGGGATCCCTTCTATGATGTTGTTAGACACCTTGTATAACAGGCTGAGCCAGTCAGTGGCAAAAAGAAGCACTTTTTGTGGAGGGGTGTAATTGCCCCGAAGGAGCAAGTTGCGGCTGCAGGCTGAATCCATCTACTGCATGGATTCCAAAACATATGTGAAAATGGGAACTAAGTTAAAAATACCAAAATAATCTTTTAAGGTTGTGTTTGAAACGGAAGGCAGTTGCCACGCTACCGTAATATACAGCTGCCTCAGCAGGCATCACTTTCGAGTGAAGGCAGCTCTGTTAAAATTGGTTTTGAACAGCCTTCCAGGTCACACATACTGAACAAACTTGGTAGGTTACAGTCACGGGCTAATATGATAGTTCAGTGTTTAGTTCTCGCTAACCTTTCAATAATCGAAACGAGGAAACTACTTGCAATTACTTGATGCCTCGCTGTCTTGTTAGACACCTTCTGAGACAGCAGTTAAGGGCCTGTGCCCACCAAAGCGTTTACCAGCTGAAAACACCAGCTGCTGATCTAAAAACACCTAGCTGGGAATGCTAGGGGGCACTATGAAGGCACAGCGGGGGGGTTTTGAGACGCTGTGGTTGCTATCATAATTTCCATGGAGGTGATGTGCTGAAAGTAGGCTACCTAATTTTATTGTATGTAAAAATGTCACCACAAAGTACGTAGGCCTACTTGCTCTGGTTCTTGCGCTGGATAAGAGAAGGCTGAAACATGTAGAGCAAGGGGACAGACTCGCCGTTCGTGGGTTAATGAGATTTTGTGGACATGAAATAACTCAGTGAGGAGGCACATCGTTTTGTTCACGAGCTGAGATGGCTGGTGTGGTGTTTGCCCCGCCCCTCCTGCACTGTGATTGGACGGCTGGGTAAAAACTGAAAGTGACGAGCGCAGTGTTTTTCCCACTCTCAGCGACCAAAAAAAAAAACGTTCAGCACCCAGTGGGGAAAAGACGCTCAGCGCCTCGTCATGCTGCTGTCGTCAGAAAAAAGGCTTTGGTGGACACGAAGTGTTTCAGGTAGTCAGACTTCTAGAATAGAGTTTGCCCTGGAATTAAGCTAGTTCTAGAACACTTATACAGTTCTAGAATGAAGTTGCCCTGGATACAGTTATAAAGTTCCTGGTTTTGTAGTCTGCTAGTATTTAGCAGAACCGTAGGAGCACAAGTGTTGGATCAACTGTATTTCACTACACGTTACTATGTTACTGTATGTACTGTTTGTGACTAATAAACCTTGGAATCCTTGCCTGAGCTTGCATTTTTCTAGGAATTGTATTGTAAACATAATAAACTGTAAGTAATCACTTATTCAGTTATAACTGAATATTTGTAAGCATGTATGAGATGAATCACTGTGATTGAAAGAAAGGTTTTGTGGGGCCTTTCTACACTGTATCAATACGATTAGATCTATTGTATGCTACATATGACTCACCTGAATTTCTTTGCACACTGGGCTTCTCTAATATAATCGCACTCCAGTGCTAGCTCTCTTCTCATCACGTCTATCAGGTGCTCTGGAAACAGACCTAAAGAGAGACAAAGACACCAACACCAAGGAAGACAATGTAAGTTGGGAAGTAAAGAGTAAAGACACGTTGTAAAGTTGAGCGCAAATTGCACGTGTATAGTTTGTGTGTGAATTAGAAGGTGCACATGCTTGTGCTTGCATGCATGCATGACTGAGTTTCTTTGTGTGTGTACCTTCAGGCAGGGCATTGCTTATATTCAGCACCGTCATCAAGTTGTTGACATCGCTGTTGATACTCTGAGCCACACCGGGGTACTGGGGTCAGACAGACAGAGAAAGATTTTTTTTTTTTAGTGATCATAAAATGAGGGAAAAACAAAGCACCATCTTTGAAGTACTTAACTTTTCTGTGATGTTTTCATTCACTTTAAAATACTTTAATGCCCTGCTATCATGTTTACGATGAATCCAATGACCATTTTTTATGTATCTTTATATAGTATAATGCAAGTACAGCTTTCACTGGGGTTGCAATTATTATTTATAATGAGATATGTTTTATTTTTACTGGCAAAGCATTTTTTAAGATGTCAAATAGACAGAATCTCTAAACGCTGTAAAAACATAAAAACAACATTAAGTCAGATGTTTCTTGGTCTTTGTAAACTTTTTACACCGACTCAGATCTGACCTGTAAACAAAGTCTGATATCAGATTCTGTGCGATTTCTTTCTGAATGCACATTTGAGAGAAGAAAAAATGGCAAACAAATGTGAGACACATTTAGTGTTTCTCTTTCCAACATGGGAATGTCCTGTGTACACACACAGGTTCATATCCTACCTGTATTTTCATGGCCACGTCCCTGCCATCCTTCATCTTCGCCAGGTGAACTTGGCCAATGGACGCTGCCGCAAACGGACGCTCCTCAAACGATTCCAGCTTGTCTCTCCAGTTAGGACCCAAGTCACTGTTCAACGCTTTCTACAGACAGACAAATAGTTTATATTTTTAATAAAAAATAATATTAGAATTCTCAATACATTTTTTTCACTGGTGGAGTTAAAAGTGAATTTAAGGTGGGCCTAACATTAATAATGTAATACTACTACCAGAGGTGGTATATGATGTTATACTTATTACACCATCAGTTAAAATGCAAGACAGCACTTTATAATTGACAGTCAATGTAAAACAAAAACGAAAAGACTCTTACCGTCATTTGTTTGATCGGCATGAAGTCAGCGCTCTGTCTTACACGATCAAAGATCTTGGCGAGTTGGGGGTTGATGAATGCATCATCTAAAACGAAGAAACATACATGGGTTTGTCTAAAGTTGACAGAATTGCAGGTCTGGAGGCACAAGCTGGCAGATTTCACAACAAACCTTACTCCAGGGTCTGGCCATTAGAGTTAGAAACTCTAGAGATAGTTGCATTTAGATGCCATACATTACATAACGGACAATAAATATGGGTTTTATAGCTTTAAAAAAAACAATACATTAACAGTACTGTTGCAAGAATCAAATCATTTAAGAGCTCATGCATCAACAATGCACAGTTAAGTTAATCTGACTGATCACACTGCTTGAGTACAATAAACCACTGAGCACAAATCAATGACAACTTGAACATCACTACTCAACTGAGATGAGGTGAGATGAAAGTGAAATCACAAAGACCCTTGGTTTCAATTACTATCAGTAAGACTTTAGAACAATTAAAGCCAATTATTTGGCAGCTACAGAGATGACATTGGCTGGCATTGCTGGTGATGATTTGACGATATGATGAAGCAGTATTAAGACATGTATTATCAGTTTTTAAATAGTTTCAGACCCCTAAAGGTTAACACTATTTTCGGACTGGCGCTAAAGGGTACAATGGTTGGACTCACAATCATCAACTGCATTACTGCACTGACAGAAAAATGTCAGTAGTGGGCAAGAACCTCTGTTTTTATCTTCCAGATTTACTTGACTCCAGTCATGTTTGGGTTCATCGTGTAACATGAAATCTTTTCCAACCTTTTTCCATTCTCCCTGGGAACAGCAATCCATGATTTCAGAATTATCTATAACACCTTAGATAAAAGAGTAACTAGCTGTGCCACTTCTGCAAATAACCACACACATGAACACACTGTCAATCCACTGATGAAAGCCTTTCTTTTCTCTCCTACTACTGTTTTTATAGCTTATTACGAACTACACTGTACCGTCTGTGTAAAGTTTTTCCAAACATGTTATGAACTCAGCATATGAATGCCAAAATACAAAAAAGGTCACCAGCCAAGGTCAGGCAGTGGGGGCAACAGAGATAAACAAAATTAATGATGTGTTTAGTGCTGCTACCAGACCCTGCTGCACTCACTCTGTGCCGGGATGATTCCCGCCGCTGGCCATCCAGTCTTCTCTGGCGTATGTGTTCAAAACCCAAACCAGCAGTGACTTAAATTATAACTTATGTTCAGTTGCTACTACTTGTATGTTTGTGTCTGTGCGGAACCGTGTCAATGGTAACATCACAACTGTGACAGAGCTTGCAGAAAACCATCAACAACTCACCAAAAAACCCTATAATCAATCCACCAGTCGTACATGACTGCAGCATGCTGGCAGAGAAAAGTTGACATATACTAGGGCTCTTGGGAGTCACAATTCAACAACTATCAGATTTCTGTGCCAACTTTCGATGCTGAAAATTGTCCAAGCCTGTGATGCAAGGTTTCTTTACTGTATAATTAATACAGAATATAATTCTTAAGAATAATACATCCTAAACATGGATGACCATCTGCGGGCTCACTGGCTGGTGGAGAAAAAAAAAAAATCAATGTGTGTGTTTTTTCCTCATCAAATAGTTTGCATTTTAACACTGCTGCTGCACAATTTCCAAGGGAACAGAACGTGTCTGTTTGTCGCACACCTTGAATGCTGAGCATCTGACCCAGTTTCAATGCAGCACCTCTGACTTTACACAGAGTACTGACGATGCGTTCAGCATTGGCCTCGGACAGGAAGGGGCTGGAGTCCAGAACGCCTTTCTTATTTTCCCCTGTAGAAACACAAAACAGAAAGGATTTTGGTTCCATTTAATAGTTTATCAATGATCAATAACAATTGTTGCAAGGTTCAGGTTTATATACAATGTGCACATATCCCAGCAGATGTATTCAGTAGCTTTAGTGTGTCAGAAGCTGTCTTGAGAGGCTTTAACAGAGCTTTACCACACTTACAAGTGTGTTCGGAGCGTCACTGCTGGAATTAACGCACACACACCCACAAACTGACGCACAAATGGCACAGATTTACGCACGTGCGCTGTTACAGCTTAGCTCTGTTTTAGGATTAGCAGGCTCATGGTGGTGCAGAGCAGGAAGGTTTGTTTAGGTAGCAGGTTGGTGAGGGAGGCGGCCTAATTGCGCTTGCCTAATTTGGCATACCACAAAGTGCGTGACATGTAACAACACGCATGAAGAATGGGTACTGAAAAGATGTGTTCTCTGTGTGCTTTTACAGCAGTTGCAAAATCACTCTGTTCTTATCTTGAGCCAAAGATAGAAACAGACGTACCTGTCCTTATAGGCACAAAAGTCTCAGACATGGCCTTATTACTTTTAGAGCATTTATATTCTACACATTTCTGTATACATAAACCCAAAGTGCAATGCATTCAGAAAGAAGCAGCTGATTGTGCATGATTCAGCATTGCAGACAGTAATGACATACCTGCTGTCGGACTTAAATATTTCATCATTTCAACACAAAAGGTAAGTATCACAAAAAATGCTTGAATAACAATGCAAAAGCATGTTTACTTTTGCATTGTTATTCAAGCATTTTTTCACATGCCATTCACATGTACTACTTGTACAAGCTGAGGATATTAAGCAGAGCAAGCGTGGGTGTGTTAGTCTGCATTACCTGCCGCACCATTGTGTCTGATGGTCTTCTTGGCAACTTCTGCCAGCGCTCCAATACCCAACCCTACAGCCAGACCTGTCGGAAACACACGGACACAAACAGACATGTAAACATACAGAATAATAGAGCAGAGTGAACTTTATTGTCCCCGAGGGGACATTTTTTTTTGGCACAGTGCTACAGTCCGTTGCTTCACATTAACGTCACAAAATCATCAGTGTTTGACACAGACAGTCGGTTCACATGAAAACACAACACATAAAAGAAAAATCTGACTATTTATTTGACACTGACAACACAGGGGCTTAAAAGAAAATACAAATTAAAGTCCTTGTGTATAATATTTCACCAGTGTTCACTGATGTATCTGCGTCTACAAATAAACTTTTTTAGCAGATAATGAAAAGAAAAACAAGCCTGCACGAGTTAGGGATGGTTTGTGATAAGAGTTCCTCCCAGGCCTGGTCTCTACCTTACATAACTCAGCATTGTGTAATCAGTTAGTCGGCAGTCTCTGAAGCGGCAAATCCTACATCCAACGGTAGATAGTCAAATCAGGGCACAGTGTGCTTCGCTGTCTTGTATACAAGATGAGTGAGCATTTCTTCATTGGTCACAAACCTGTCATCACCTTTGATTGTTGGAGACAGGTTGTACTAGAGGGAATGAGAATGTGCACCAAGCTGTCTGACTAAATGTGTTGAGGTTTGCTGCATATGTTTATTTGTGTTACCGAGTGTAACCTGATGCAGTATTACCTTCTTCTTCCCCCACCTAAGTACTGACTACGTCACCTCACTGTTTTTGTCTTCCTGCTTCAGTGGGGATTTTAAAATATGAACACAAATACTGACGAGCAGACACCAGATTAGCCGGTATCATGCCACTAGTGGCACTGTATCTATCTGTATCTGTATGAACTCAGCGTGTGCAACTGCAAGCCAAACAGAGATCAACACTTCCTGCATCATCTCTGAGTGACAACATGTTTTAAAGACACATACACACAAGTGTCTGCCAATCATTTGAGTTTACACACTTTCACAGCTGTACACTACTTACAAGCTTTAAAAGATGATTCCTGTTCCTTCGTTTTGCAATTAGAACCAGTGAAACTCAAACATAGTGCTGTTTCCTCACAAACCTCAGCAAAAGGAGTGATATGCATGCCACAAAACATGCAGATATATTTATGAAACTATAAAATCTCTACACTGCTTGTTCTCAACCTAAAGTGCCTAAAACCTGCCTTCTTTCTCTCCAGTGGCAGCAGTAAGTAAAACATGACAAACAAAGAAAAACTTGTATAACTCTGTTGTTGCAGAGTGAAGGACAGACCGAGGCCATTCCTCCACCCCCTCCCCTCTCCGACACCTTCTAAATGTTTCCACCGTCAACATGCCGAATCTATTCGGCTCTGCCTTTCGTGTCTCACTGTAGCCTGTATAAGTCCGATGTGTTTGGAATGAGCTGTGGCTAAATTCTGCTGCACATATATTTATGTTGGCAGTCTGGTCTGACTCATCTGGGATTCTGTCCTGGCTTCACTTTTGTGCGCACTTTAAGTGCTCTGTGCTTCTAGCTTCTCTGTCCAGCTTTTTGCCACCTGTTAACTTATCAGTCATCCTGAATAGAAGCTACAATCTGATCTGTCATGTTAAACTACATCTGAGGTTAGTTGTGCGCTTTTCACTATCCTCGCGTGAAGGTTTTAGCCTATCGCTGAATAAACATCCTGTCTAGATATGACTTTGGGAATAAAAGAGCCACATTTCTTTACCTGACTTTATCTTCTATGTCAATTACATTCAATGTGTTTTAGTACTGGTTGACAGGACTAAAAATAAACATTTGGAGTTTTGCTGTATATTTAAATTATTTAATTCTTCTCACTCCTTTTTAAATTTACCTTTATAATCAGATTGGCAGTAAATGTTGTGATTAAATGTGTTACATCTAATAGGCTGAGAGAACAGGCAAACATAGCCAAACAGATTAACTAACAACAATCTGCAGTGCAGACTCTCTCAGATTTTATCACAAACTACAGCTGAAGTTCTGCTGTACTCTCTCAATCTTCAAGCTGATTGTTTTTATCTGAACAGGAACACGGGTCCATTAATAAGGGCTAGATACGCTCAACTTCATTTCTAGACCTGTTTGTTTAAGTGCAAGTACAGGGTCAGGCACTTGACAAATGCTAGTTACATTCCTGTATGTTTTGTTTCTCTCTCTCTTTTTACCACTTTGTTTTCTTTATGTACATCTGTACATCCTGCATATACATTCAGTGGTGGTGTTTTGACATTGACCACTGCATAGAACCCAGTTACCCCAGCTTATTTAGGATTGGTACGTTAAAGTTTCCAGAACTTCAGCAACTTAATTTCAGGTCACATTACTAGAAAAAACTAACACTGTAACTAACCAAAGAGATGATTTTCTCTTATGTTCTCTATTCACAAATATTAATTTAGGGGTAGGTTAAATTAAAACTAAATTTTTGCTTTTATTTTAATGACTTCTGCTGAGAAGCTGCACAGACTAATCTGTAAACATTTCCACAGAAAAAGACAGAAAAGTGTACTTGCAGACTTGCACGCAGACACACATACCTACAGATACAGTCAGTGAAACTGCCAATGAATCAGCCAAGATTCAGACAGAGTAACAAAGAGTTGTATTACTGTACCTCCAAAGTTAGCCAATCTGCCAAGCCGAGTCACTGGCACTTTCCTCTCTCTGGCTCTCTCACTCAACTAGAAGAAGACAGACAGACCAGTAAAGACACATTTCTATTAAAAAGTGTGAATGGAAAGGTATATGCTTACATCAATGCCAATGTGTGTTTGTGTTTAAGAACAGGGACTGAGGAGCAGGCATTACCATCTGTTTGTGTGGTTTGATCTCAGCCCTCTTGCTTTGTCTTGCTTTCTCAAGGTCTTCGGCTGTCAGCCCTCCAACTGTGGACGGGTCCTGATGGTAGCTCCTCAGCTGACTGACCTGATCTTGACAGTATAGTTGTCTCCACAGATGCCTGTTCAGACTGTGGTTGTAAAGACGATGATGTCCAATGAAATGTCTGCAACACCCAAAGCAAAAGTGATTACCTTTATCCTCCAAACAGCAGCAAAAGCCTGTATACTGTAGTTTGCAACTGAGTAAGAGACTATTTATACCTGGCATGTTGGTGGTAAGACCTGGTGTGTCCACTAAACTGTTTGCTGGGATCTTTGTATCCCTCAAACAACGACTGTTTCCCACCGACATGGCTCGCTCTTGCTGCTGCGCTGTGATGGGCTCCTGCATCATCGCTACTTCCTGTGTGATCAGAACCTTCCTCCCTGAACTCTGAAGCTGTGAATGCACCGTCATCCTGAGGGAAGTCAAATTCTGACTCTGATGAAGAGGTCTGCTGCTGGCCAGACAGCTCCTGGACAGACACATACAAAAAGCATTCTCACAGTATTCTTTTGACATTAAATGTATACAGTTCTTTTTCTAATGCTAAAACTATGCTGCCAATTTGCACAGCAGCATTTACACATATTCCTACACACCTGCATTTTCATTATAGCGGTAGAGAGGCCTTGCTCAGCAGCCGATTGGACACTTTGGACTGCAGCGCCAACTCCTGGGACTCCTGGGTTATAAATAACAAAGAAATATTATTATTAGCTTTATTGCTTTAGTCTTTAGTACACTACGCACTAACCATACAATAAACTTATCGATGTTACTGGTCTTAGAAGCCTGGTAGTAAAAATGCATGACAAGTAAGAACTTGTTAAACATGCTAAACGCTATATACCGGGAAATCACAATAATGTGGAAGTAAATGTTGATTTACCATTTCTTGATACACAGCTATGGCTCACTAGCTCGCTCTACAATTCCCTTTCAAAACTCAAGTGTATAATGTGACATGTTTTGAGTTATGAAGTCTTATAGCTAAAAAACAGCTTGCTAGCATTTTTGTTAGCATTATCTTTCTACTAATGGGTAACGCTAGCCTAAGTTAGTGTATTGTATTGGAGTTAGTGGCGAACATAATGATTTTAATGCAGTCACAACTTCTTTTCAAAAATGAATACTTTAATGGGACACAAACCTTTATTAATTAAAGCATTGCATTTGTATAACAGGCTACAATGTAGAAAGAAATGCTGTATTATTATATTATTGCGCTTGTTAGCATTTTTGCTAACATTACTTTCAAATCAATGTTTAAAGCTAATGACAAGCTAGCCTTTCATCATGTGAGCTACTGACTGTTATCTCAATATTTAAATGCAGAGCGCTAAGACAAATGCTGAATCTTTTACTTCTATCATTTGACATGTGTCAGAAATTAACTACCGGGGAGAGACAGTTGTTTTCAAAATTTAGGAACTAAACTGGTAGCTATGTTGAACTTACCTGTTCCACTGCGCAAGGTGCTGCTCTGAGTCTCTACAACCGCCTGGCTCAGCTTAGCCAAGCCTCGCATTAGTAACATCATATCGCCTGCCATGATGGACTACGACAGAGACAAAGGAAAGGAAAAGAAACTTAGCGTTAATATCACTGTTAGCTGTGCTATATTCCATAAAGAGTTGGACGGTAGCATGAAGAGGTACATACTGGACACTGACAATAAAGAGACGCACAAAACGAGAGCTCAGATATCTGTGACATCAACTTGTCAGTAAAGATGAGGATCAGAGCAAAGACAAAGTTCGACAAGGATGCAAATGGAAAAAGAGATAAAACTTGTCGTCAACACACATTCTGCTGCTAAACAGAAACACACACACACACACACACACACACAGCTGTCATCTTGAAATGACTAATACTTTGTCTAAAAATACTCATGACCTGCAATCCCTGTCTAAGCACTACACACACACACACACACACACACACACACACACACACACACACACACACACACACACACACACACACACACACACACACACACACACACACACACACACACACACACACACACACACACACACACACACACACACACACACACACACACACAAGAAAGGAGCGGGGAATGCTATGCACGCATGTAAGCTGGGCTGTGAAGATATGTGTATGTGGTCCAGAAGTGGATCTGAAAATGTCACTGGAAACTAGGAGGGAGGAGTTGGAGAGCTGCTGGCTGTGGCATCTTCCAGTTATATCTGCATGAGAGAATGAGGGAGCAGGGGAGCACACGTTTGGTTCATGTACAAAATTTGCAGCTGTACTTTACCTCTCCCCACTTTTGACTGATATTGTTTTCTATCATGGCCAAAATATTACACCACTTCTTTCTAAGAATCAAACTGGTGTATCTTTTATAAATAGTTATGACAGGCTGAAACAGCACATTACCGCACATGCTAATGGCTAATATAATGTGATAGTTTACTTCAACCCTCTGACTTACCTAAACAACGGAGCTACCGCTGCGTTCCTCTCTGTATGTATTAGCAAGTGTGTTTGTTATTGTGTTACAGGTACGGTTTTGTGGGTGTGACAACGCGCTGTAATACTGCTCCGCTGGGATTCGGGCCAATGGAAAAAAACTGTTGCTGAAAGAGGCGAAGCAATATGTGAGCTGTGCTGCTACCCAAATACACAAACGCACACACTGGGTCAGTAACTGGGTCATCCGACCTCCTTTAGGGCTGCTTTGTGTGTGCTGGCCTAAAGACCACGGGTGGGCACACTTTGTGACACAGAACAAAGTGTTTTTTTAATTATCACTATTTTTGCCTAGGATTATATTCATTACCAAATAAACAGAAACCCATCTCAGACTTTCTCTGCAGCTTTGTACAATAAGTTTGCCTTGTGACTTAGCAAGCAGCTTCCCTCACACAAGGCTGGGGATCAACAGCAGCCCCAAAGCGAGAAACTATAGGCCATAAAGCAGAGATCATTACAAAGCAATATTCACTGAAATCATCGAACTCTGTTAAAATCTGCTTCTTTTGAATATGTTGCTCTTCAGTTGAACTCCTCCTGTCGAGCTGTATATACAGGCCACCTACACAGTGTGCAGAGCTTCCCCCTAATAGTCGACTAAACCGTTAGTCAATGAGTCAACAAACTTTTAATTAGTTGGGTGGTTGCAGAACCCCACCAAAACCTCAAACTCTATTCGGGAGCTGTTCCTTATCACTGGGACAAAAAGTATCAAGAAATTCTGACAACACGGATCTTTTGTCTTGCAACACAGAAGCCACTTAATGATGCACACTGCCCTGCTGCAAACTCTAGCTAGTTAGCGGTCCTATTCGCCGATTCTACCTGGACTGGGAGCTCTGAGCACCGGAGGAGTGCTGGTGTTTGTTTATACCGGTAGCACAGGAGCTTTGGACCGCCCCGAAAAGGAGATCTGAAAATGGAGGAGTTGGAGAGCTGCTTGCCGTTGCCTCTTCCAGCTATATCTGTGCATGAGAGAATGAAGGGGCACATGTTTGGTTCATGTACAAAGTTTGCCGACGCACTTTACCTCTCCCCACTTCACTCTGCAACTGATAGGACTGTGAGATTGTTTTCTAACACAAAAATATTATACCACTTCTTTCCAAGAATCAATCTGGTGTATCTCACAAATAGTTATGACAAGCTGAAACAGCACACTACCACACATTTAGTTTAACTGCGATGTGATAGCGATTGTTAACATAACTCTAAAAAAAGGTTCAATTCCCACCTCTCTGACTAATCTAAACAACGGAGCTCCCACTGAATTCCTCTCTGTATGTATTACCGAGTGTGTTTGTTAGTATGTTACAGGTGCGGTTTTGTGTTTTCAGACCAGGGGCGAGAGACCAGGCAAGGAATGCTGCCGGGGAGTGGCTCCAGAATGAGCACCAGATTCGGAGTATGGCAAGCGGGCAATGGAGCTGGGCTCAGAAGCCTCCCAGTGAACATAGATCAGGACGGAACAAAGCCTCTGAGACAAAAGAAGGCCAGTTTGATGCCAGGGAATATAGTACAGGAAGTGATTTACAGCGCCTCCGACCAGGACTCTGACTCCAGGGACAACGGCGGGTTCAGGAGAGGAGAGAGTTAATTTGTTAAGTTGTAAGTAACGTACATCGTTTTGTTAAGTCTGCGAATATTTCTTCTTGTAACGCTGAAAATTTTATTCTGGTTTTGATCAAGACTTGTGTGACGGTATACTGTGTTGAAATAAATTTAAAAAAACGTTCAGTCTCCTTGCTGGTCGTTCCAACACACACAGAATCATTGCCGTTAACAGGCGGCTCGTGTCCCTTATAAAATGTATATTTTAAAATGTCATTATTACGGTTTTGTATTTCTCTAATTTACCACAATGTTCACAATGTCACTTCCAACATTTTTCTAAGCCCTGGAACTCAATCCATTTTCTGATGCCCCAAAAATCTATATTTAAATGAATAAACTAATATTATAAAAGATGCAATGACTTGTCGACTAATAGCTTGAACTAACTACAAGTCAACAAGGAAAATATTCAGTCGGTGGCAGCCCTAAAAAGTTTTTGAAGACATTGCTGAGCTGCTGTTGGTGACTTCAACACTGAGGTTGACCACCCCTGGGATAGCAGCACTTAAGAACTGTGTTGTATTGTGGATTACTACAGACTGACTCAGCATGTGATGGAGTCCACAAACAACAAAAAGGGTCCAAGACAAGGGTCTTTTTAACATTTCTAAGGTTGTGGGGAGTGATGTTGCTCTTTCTAATTCTTACTGTGTTTTCTTTGAAATCTCTGAAAACACCTGGTAATTATTCAGTAAATGATCTTCCAGATAATTCTAAAATTATGAATGTTATTGATGCCACTGCTCCCACTAAGGTCTCTGGAAAGAAAAAAAAAAAAGCACCATAGGGAATGCCAGACATTTTATAAATAGTGTTGAAAAGCTGAACGCAGGTGGTGACAAACAAATCTCCAGGTTCATTATAACATTATAACGTCCCGTGTCTGTAGCCACCTAAATTTTATCCACTAAATCATGCAATTAACTTGCCTCCTTCTTCACTCGCAAAATTCTGAAAATCAGAGAAGCAGTCGGTTCCTCCATATCAGGTAAAGGCTCTCGCAAATTCCAATCAGCATGTCGCATTATATTACTTTGGAGGAAATCATGCAACATCTGAAATCCTGCTGCCTTACTATTCGCCCTACAGTCATTTAAACAATGTTTTTAAATGCATTGCATCACACATTATGCAAAGCTGTCATTTTTTTTATTTTTTATTTTTTTTACACACCACATATCTGGAACAAACTATCAGAACAGTAGAGGTCGATGCCAACTCTCAGCTCTTTTAAATCAGGGCTCAGGAGTTATACTTACCAGTGTTTTATTATGTTAAATTTGGGACTACATATTTTAGAATCTTGAACGGCACCGTAGCTGCACTATAAGTTTTATTCTACTGTTTAGTCTGTCTTATTCTAAATTAGCTTATTTGAACTCTTTGTTTTGGTCCTTTTCAATCCCATTTGTGTATTTTCTAATTTCCTGGTGTTATTTTACATATTGTATTGATGCCTTTATGTCTCACACAAGCACTCTGAATTGCCTTGCCTTGAAAGTGGTTTGTTGTTGAAAATTAATTTGTCTTGTCTTGCCTTTTGTATGCGTAAAATTCAAACTGACCTGTTTGTATAAAGGTTTGCAAACATGCAAGACTACAGTGTAAGGACTGCAGGTATTGGCATGCTTCAAATATCAGTAAAAGATAATTAAATATTGTTCTTTTTTTGTCATAACATTTATCACAGTACTGTGCTGAGTCAACTCGGCAAGATCCTGCAAGACCTTCTACTAGGCAGGGAGTTTAGATAAGAAGTTTGCACTGAGGCAAAGGAACCTGCTAACACCAAGTTGCACTCAGAGCTGCAGAAAGCAAATGTTTATGGCAATATTCAATAGGGATGCACCGAATGTTCAGCAACCGAAATTAATCGTCCAGAAATGGCAAAAAAAAAAAAGCACTTTCGGTGTTCGGCCTAATAAGTCATAAGTCAAAAGACACCGGAAGCATTTTTAAGTGCCCGAGCAAGTAGCAAAAATCGCCGTTTGCAGACTGAATTGTCTCCTTGCACATGCACTCCATCTGTGGCTGACTTCTTAAAAAAGGCAAACAGTCTGAACCGCTTTGAGTGTTTCTGTCACTCTTTTCTGAGAAGGCGATTAAGCTAGCCGCACCTAAATTTGTGCACACGTATTCAAGTCTTTATGGTAAATCCACTGAAACGGTCCAGAGTGAGCTGACAGGCAGGTTAGAGACTTTATCCTGTCATTGTCTCTCTTTACAAAGACAAGTGTTGCAGTATGAGTCCTACCTGAAGGGAGGCCATTAAGTCTTCATGTTACGCGATACGAGAACCACATACAACATTATTTATCAAATTGGGTCGGACTTCATGAATTTAGCGCGAGGATACACATGTGACAACGTCCGGTTTTCAAAATAAGGTGTCTATACAGTGTGGAAATAAGATTAATTTGATTTGTCTATGAAGATTCTCAGTCATCCAGGTCATAGTTATCCAACGAAGGTTAAAGTCAAGGGCAACTGGACTTGGTTGAAGATACCCTTGACTTTAACCTTCGTTGGATGATTATTTGGATTATACAGAAAGTATAAAACACAATACATGCGTACATTAAAAGTAAATGAATACACCCTCTCGGGCCTCTGACCCCCATAGTTGCTAAAAAGGTAATTTTGACTGAGGCAATGGTTAAAAAAAAAAATTGGCAAAATAAATGGAAAAAAATACCTTGTTCAGTATCCAAGGAAGTTTTTCATTATATTCGAGGCGTCCCTAATATTCAGTCTTGATGTTGCTGAGTTATGAACACTGGTTGAATTAATTTTACTTGCACAATCTGATACTTTCAGGGAGAAGTTACTGTTACTGTATTGCTAAACATAATCTACTGAGCAACTTCCCATGTGACTTCCTCTACCACAAACAGAGGAGAGGACATTATTTACATATTAAAATAGGCATAAAAATGTAATTAGATGAAGAGAAGAGAGGAAAACTGAAAGGTCAGTTTTGATGCCCAATGGGCGAGAGGTCACTACAAGGTAGTTGTGTAAATCCACTGGCTGGGATTACATATGCTATTATAAGGTGAACACACGTGCGCGCGCACATGCACACCTCTGTTGTTGTCTGGGCTTTGCTGCTGTCCCTCCACAAGCTGTTGACTCACTGCTATGAAAATAGCCAGGCATCGCAGCCTGAGTGCACATCTATATGTGAATGCTTTTCAGTACACCTCACAGCTTACTGACAGCCTCCAGTCACTGCCCGTAACTACCAATCCTGAGGCAAGAGTGGAAAATGTTTCCCTCATTACTGTGCAGTGGTCATCCACCACAGCATCATCATCAACACCAGCAGCAGCAGAGGCAGGGCAAATGTGACAAAAATCATGTTTCCTGTAAGACTACAGAAAACAAAACAGAGTCTGTGTTTTATTAAAAAAGTTCTTGTGATCAAACCTGTATTAAAAATGCCAACAAAAACTTTATCATATAAAGCAAGGAAGCAGAATACAGTATGTCAGTGACTGTTGTTACAGTTCCAATAATTAAATTTCTGCTGTGTCCGATAACATGCAGCCATAATAACTATGATACTTCAGTGACTATGAATAAACACAGAAAGTATAATACTGTCACAGGCAGATACTGTAGATTACTTTATATTATAGCATTGCTACATGTTTAATAAAGATAAACAAATAAGGATATCACAAAAAAAACGGCCTTTCTTGCCCTTCTTTTGTTTACAAAAATGATATTGGCAGTGAGAAAATAAACATCTCAATCTAAAAAGCCTTTGTCCTTGTGCTTTTGCAAGAATAATGTTGTCAGTTATTATATCAGTACTGGCCACAACAGCGTGACAATTAATAGTTTTTAAGGCAAATATTTCAGCCAACACTTTCGTTTAACAATCTAATTACATAAACAAACCTTTTTGATAAGGATCCTTTACATCCTGACCAAGGTTTATACTGGGCATGATATTTTACAGCAGCAAAGGAAACACAGATTAGATTAAACATGCTTCCTCTTTTGCATTTCTGGGTTAGGTAATTTCTTATTACTTATTGGCCATCATATACAACCATACTGGTACATCTGATATAATATATCAGCTAATAAGCAGTCAGGCTCCACTATGATGAAGATGTTTTACTACACCCCAAGTCTTTCATTACTTTATCTATACACACATGCAGGGCAAATGTACACGTGCACGTGTTTCATTATTATATTGTTTTATTTTAAGGCTATACAATTAAACAATAATTATCACAATTTTTTCTTTCAATAACAACATGTTCAATAAATATTCAGTACATTTTTGATTTTATTCACTTGAATCATACACAAATAAGGACTATTAATATGTTTATTGTGTTGAGGAAAAAGGACTGAAAAAAGCTTTTACTTTTTTTACTCATGCATATTTCTTGACAAAGATTTTATCATAATTTTTTTGAATGTTTTACCTCAGATTTGTGAAATGATCCACTGTTTGGCCTCAAGTATTGACCATAAAGAAGAGTTTAAACCACAATTAATAGTCAGTTTTCTTCAACTTTCATTCAGGAGCAAAAATCTGCCTTTAAACTAGAAAGAAATAGCGAATTGATACTTATCCCGATAATTATTGATATCGAAAAATATGAAACTTTTTATCATGATAATGTTTTTGACCATATCAGCCAGCTCTATTTTATTATAATGTAAAATTATTGTAAATGTGCCAAAGTTAGCCAAAAGGGCTATTCCCCCCCCCCCCTTATTAGTCGCTGGACAGATGTTACACACTCACCGTAAAAGACTGTGCAGTACTCTATGTAAAAAAGTATATACACTATGTGTAAACATTTTATTAGTCCGAAACTATTAGCAATGTTTCCAAATAAATATTAAAAGAAATTCAATGAAAATGTTTAGACGAATGCGAATATCTGACTATGCCACACGAGGTAAGTTTAGTTTCCTGTAGGACATTTAGTTAGAAAACAGGTTAGCTGGCTCCTCAGTCTTTAGCCCCTTTAACAACACTTATTGTTGTTAGGTCACCTAACGGTTTGTGAAGTTAGGCGCAACAGTTTCCCTTCACGAGAGCTGCGCTACATAAACCACTCAAAGTATCGAAAGTGGCCCATTTCAAAACAATCAAGTTTTCAACTTCCTCGTGGGCGCGTAGCCGCGAGCCTCTGCAATAACAAACGAGTCACACGTTTTTTTATATGCGCATTATTAAACTAGCCTTATAGCTGCTTTAAACGACTGGGACTGGGTGGGGGAAGTTTAGCACGTTTAATAAAAAGGTTTTAATAAATGTCCACCGCGTTGGAAGGTCTGTAAAGTTTGCAGTATTACCAGAGCAGTCATGGACGGCAGGCACGTCAACACGCTGCAGAGGATCGGGTACGTTGACCCAGGTCGAAGCAACGGTGAGCTGAGCTGGATTATAACAGGACTAACCGGAAAAACACCATTTATTTAATAGCTAATGCATGTTAATATGTGACAGCATTGCAGATACTCACCAGCTGTTGTGCAACGCCTTCGCTTGGCTCTCAAACTCTGTCGGATGAGGTCAAACGAACCACTCTGGATTTATTTTACTCTTTATATCAGCTGCTTCACGGAGCAATGTTTGCTAGCAGCAAGACTTGCAGGATGTTTTTGTTTGTGTGTTAGTCGCCCTGCTCCTCCTGCTGCTGCTGGCAGCGTTTTAATCCAGTATGTCTCCACCACGAGGTCAAACCTTATTTACCAACTTCACAGAGCAGCCAGAGCCGCGCATTGACGCAACCCACTCCTGCCTGTTGTTCAGCACACAGCAGGGGTTCTTCACATTTCTCTATTGTGTGCCTCCTTTTCTCCCCACCTCCTTTTCTCCCCACCTCCACCGCTCACATATCGGGTGGGAGGGACTAAGACGCGAGGAGAGGAGTCGAGGAGGTACAAACTTAGAAATGAGAATGGCCTCAGCTTTCATGTTAAGACAAACATGCACATTTTGCACAACAACCTGCATAAATACTACTTTGTAATAGTGCATTCATTTGAATGATTTTTTTTTTTTTGCAGACATACATGTAACCTTCAGAAGTGTGCGTACTCTATTTCATCTTGCAACTTCTCTTCAGTTTCTCCCCTGGACGCATTTAATCTCTTTCGAATCTAATCTGACCTCGTTTCACCACGTTTATTTGTCCACACTTCTGCTGAACTCCATTTACTCACGGCTCTGGTCCGCCCCCTTCTGCCCGTACATCCTCTGCTCTTATTGGTCCTCGTGGTCTGTTGGCAGGAGGTGGGGACTGAAATGCGGCTCTTCATTGGTTCGTCACGCAAGAAAAACAAGGTACAAGTTTGTGCTGCTGCGATGGACTGGCGACCTGTCCAGGGTGTACCCCGCCTTTCGCCCGATGTCAGCTGGGATAAACGGTTGACGATGGATGGATGGATGGATGAATAAGGGACACGTGACCAATAAGCAAGTGATAATAATTGACACATTTAAATGCAAACACCACAGAACCATAAAAATTGAACTCCCGTTAAATGGGCCTCTGCTGCCATCTGCTGTTGTTGGCAATCATTACTGTGCTTTAAAATGACGCAGTTACTGTATAATAGTATAAATATACATAATTACAAGTTAAAGGTAATCTCCCCATAAACTATTAAGTCTCTCCTAAAATACTGGCATAATGCAAATGTGGGTCCTGACTTTGACTTTTTCAGATGACCATCTCTCTGCAGTGTCAGTAAAGTGACAGCAGAGTGTGCAACAGATCCACGCAGCCTGTGTGATGTGTTATGAAAAGGAGGTTGTAACTTTTCCCCAGACTAAATGAACCCACTGGTCCTCTTAAGCGAATAATTCTCTTGTCAAACTGCCTTGAGTGGGGCACAGTCAAATCTGAGTCTATAACAACCCAGTTTTCACATAAGGGAGCTGAGCTAAAGGAAATAAACTCAGAAAACAATGACACCTCGCTGTACGGCTCATGCGTACTAAAACCTTTGTCATATACTTTACACATGTCTCATACCAAACGCAAAGAGGATAATGTAAAGAACATCTGAATCATTACATGTATTTAAAAAATGATTACTTCAACAAAGATGTCGCTGTATGTGATGGTAGAAGTGAGTAAAGCAAAACAATTGTAGGCTGAAAATGACCCTAGAGGGTTCACCTTCCCCGCCACCCTTCATGAAATTAAATCACATGTCTGCTGAGTTTCCCCTTTCACAGCCTCTCTCCTCCTGAATCATGTCCTTTCTATCCCCACAAGCTCCGGATGCTGCTGCTGTTATGGGCAGGTGTGATTTGAATGGCAAATGACCCCCATGCAAACACAGCAATTAATGTGGCCAAGGAGCAGCAGCATGGGGTCACTGTGGGATAGATAGATAGATAGATAGATAGATAGATAGAAATCACACACGGAATCAGGGTTTGTTGTTCACCTAATACACTTTTTTTAAGGGAACAATCCAAATAAATACACAAGCCGGCAAAACCAGAACAGTATGATACCTACTAACAAACAACCAACCGTAAGTGCACATTGGGAGCATAAGCAATAGCTAAGATGGTTGGTCTTAATGAAATAGTTTGACATTTTGGGAAATACGCCTATCCTGTGTCTTTTTGAGAGTTAAAAATTAAGATACAGCCAACGGCCGGTTAGCTTAGTTTAGGATGAAGACTGGAATTAGGGGGGAAACCGTGGCGCCAGTCTCTGCGTAATGCTACTTAATGCTCACTAATTAACATGTTATATTTTGTTTGTTTAATCATGACACTTGATCACTCCCCTTCCCAGTCTTTATGCTAAGCTAAGCTAACCAGCTGCTGGCGGATGCTTCATTTAGCGTTCAGACATGACGGTGGTATTGAACTTCTCATCTTTTTATGAACTCTCGGCTAAAAAGCTAATAAGCGCATTTCCCAAAATGTCATACTACTTTTTTTTTTTTTAAGGCACTGCATGGAATTACAATCAATCTCTTTCTCCATCTAATTTCACCGCAAATATCAACTGAAATATTTGGTAGAGTGGATCCTACATACTGTTTAGTTTTTATTGTTCATCAAGAACCTGTTACATTATGAGACATTTATTTCTCCCTTATCTGCCCAACCACTTTCTAAAGTAACTGTTTTGTTTCCCCATTAAAATAAAGGGGTATCATTATCTGAACATCATCAAATGTTTGAATATCCACAATGTCACCAGCCCCACAGTTTGACTTTCACTCACACTGTAACACGCGCTTGAAGACAAACTAACATAACAGCCCAAAATTCAAAATGTCACAGTATCCCACTAACTAAAACAAAAAACATAATATGTTATAAATAAAAACAGAATGTAATACAAACAAATCCCAAACTTTAAGAGGATAATAAACATGCACCCATGTAAGACTAAGCACAGAAACTGACAGTTAAGAAAATTCCATCATAACGTTTAAAAGTAAGAACATATTTTCAGTTGTCTGACTTGGCTTTGTAATGTCAAGGCACTGTATAGCTTAAATAAGATTGTTCATGGCTGTAAGTGTTCCACAGGATTTGAGTACGCTAATATAATGTTACAAAAATTACATCAAACATAATAAAATCTTACTGTACATTGTGAACAATCCCAACAAAATGTGAGAAGGGTGATAAGTGTTTGGCCGAGGAAGTACTACGGATGCCATGCTGGCTGCAAATATGTTACATATGAAACAATGCCCTCCATAACATACTGAAACTGCTGTGAGATGTATTATTTAGCTCCACATAAGTGCCAGTTATTGCCAGATTATTGTGGAGCAAACATGGCTGCCACTGAAAACCTCACTAACCAACTTACATTATCTGAGTGTGACTGGTTAAACAGATGTGAAAAATAGCTAAAAGACTAGTTTAGTAAAATACCCCCTAAAGTCTTCACAAGTAATAAACTCACTAAACTGTACAAGATCTAACAGTGGAAACACATTTAAGTGCTGTAGATTGTTTTTTAAAAGGAATGGGCAATGTGCTAAAGTTGTGGTCAAACACTGACAGAAAAATCCCACATAATTGGGTTCAGATATGCTGAGGAAGAAATCCAATTAAACTGTGACTGAATAGAGATACATCTAAGTTAAGTTGGAATCATTCAAATATACAAAGGAGTAGAGCTTTTGTCTTGAACGCCGTGTGTACCCAAATTAATAAAAATATGTGAGTTGTGAACTGATTTCAAATTAGGCTTTCGCTATATACGCATTGGTTTATAGAAAAGGTTGGTGTTTTTTTAATACTACCACCAGGGAGCTCCAAAGTCAGATGTTTTCAAATTTCACACACAGTGGTTTTAAATCAAAAACACACTGTTGCACAGCGTGACATATTCATTCATTACAATGAACATGGCCGCTGTTGTTTTTACAGAAATTAATGCCAAATACTCATTAGAGCTTCAAATGTTTATTAATCCACCTCTGAAAATAGTCCCCAACAAATGCACAATTTCCTCCTGTTCAAGTAATATTTGCTAAAAAAAATTCAGTGTTTTATTTATGTAATGATTTACCATTCTTAAAAAATTAAACTTGATATCTGTGATCTGTTTTTAAAGATTTATGTCTTCAGCAGAAAAGAAATGGGCTTGGGGCTGAGCGCCACTGAGGCCAAAATTAAAAGATGGACTAACATGTTATTGTTTTGGTCTTTTCATGGAATTTGTTTAAAATAACATAAATATAGAACATCACCACTCTTAGCCTTCAATTTGGATTAGGCAATCTAGATTTTTTGCTTTTAATTGGAGACTTCCTGTGATAAAAAAAAAGGTTGTCTTGCAGGTTTAATGCAAGTAAAAATAGACCTTTTCTTCACAGCAGACATTTCAACATGTCATAGCAGGAAAAACAGGTGTAACGAATAACATTATTAAGACTTGTGTATGCTGGCTCACAGGAATGGAAGCGAGCGTTTGGGGCGGTGAGTTTACATACAAAGTCAATGCAAAGACGCGTAGAGCCGTGATTTCCTGTTGGGCGGCGCGAAGCGACGCAAAGGGGGTGGGGCCGGCGACTTGAAGGCAATGCGAAGGAAAGTCGCATGACATTGAGTCACGATAGCCTATCAGTGTTGATATTGTGCGTATGTCACCGACGGCTTCAGAGCCATGTGTGGAGAGGGCCGGGCAGAGCGGGGGATTGAAAATCTGCTGGCCGGCTGAGAGCTGCTAAACTTGGGGGAGAGGAGTAGGGAGTATCGCTGCAACCACTGGACAAATAAACACCCGTTGTCGGTCGGATTCTGCTCTGACAACAACGCCGTTTACTTGCAGGAGGAGCTCGGAGTAAACTGCTTTTATTAAATTATCTTTTTACTTTAGTTTTTGGGATTTCAACGTTGATTTATCTTCACTGGAGATTCTCAGCAGCTAGGTTCCGTGCACATCTGGTTCTAGGGTTGTTGTTATCGTCGTTACCTCTGTCGGACTATGACTTCTATTTATATAAAAAACAGACAAAACTGGACATTACCGTGACCAAGTTAGCATAGAATAGCCCTAATCGATCCAAACAAATTTAGAAGTTGTTGTCTTGCTGACAGACCTGACAAAGCATGAATTCATATGTTTAACAAATCTGCATCATGTTGTAGTTATTTCAGCATCAGTTTAATCCGTTTATTGCTATTTAATCACAGCAAAATGTTTACTTTGGGTTCATACAGCTGTAGTAATGGCAAGTTGTGTTTATTCACATTATCATGTTAAAATTGCCTTCTCGCGTTGTGTGTGAACACTTGCAGCGAATGTACTCACGCGAGGAAAGCGTCGCGAGGAGAAAATTTGCGTTTGGTCTGAATGCCGTATTACTGGGACACTTAACGGATCTGAGACATCTTTAATGTCATTAGTTCCATCTGTGCTTTTCCTGCTATGAGAAGTTAACATGTCTGCTGTGAAAAAGGCTTTTTACGGACGGCCCTTGAGGGTACAAGGATCACATTAAAAGGGCCATGGATGCGGAAGAGCAAGATCCTGAAATCTCCTGGACATGAACAGAAATGGAACATCATGGATTTGACCACGTATTGTTATGGGACAAATGTTTGTGAAGGAATCTTTGAGGAAGTCCAAAGTGTTCCCCAGAGAAAGAAAGAATGAATGGAAGTAGGTTTTGTGTGTCCAAATGTTCACTTGGATAAAAACACCCATCAGACTTCAAGTCTCAGAGTCCACCATGGATGAAATGATGTCCACCAAACTATCAAGTCCACAAAGGTAGCCATCTTCTCTGTTGCCCTCTACCCATTGTGCTCGGTGGGTTAGTTCCTCCCCGTCAGGAAGAGGAGTAGTTTTCCCAAAGTCTATCATCCAGACTTTGGCCCGTCCCTTACTGTCGTGAACAAATAACAAGGAGCTGCCAATCACCTGCAGAGATACAGAAACAATTGGATGATTAAGAAAACAGGAAATCATTATTAAAACAGTTTTCTTTCTTTTTATGTCCCTCAGAAACATGATCTCACCTCCTGTTTTGTTAAACCAGCTTCTTACATTTGTGTCTGTTGTTATTTTTGTTTGTTCGTAGGTGTGTGTATGTGTGCACACTCGAGTGTGAAACTGAGTGTGTGGTCAAGGCAGCTGCTGTCCAATTTCTGTGACGAGACCTGCTATGTCTGTGTGTGTACTGGTGTGTTTGCTTGAGTGAGTTAGTGTCACTAAATTACACTTACACACAGTAAATTACATGTTCATGTTAACCAGAAGCGGAACTAATCCAGCAATTTAAAGTATGTGCTATAGGCTGTTTAATTCAGTTAATATGTCTCAAGAGAGTCTAGAGAACATGGAAATTCACACATCCTGAACTGAGCCCAGTCCTAAAACATAAAGCAAACATAAATGTAAACCCCATCATTTCCAAGTTTTTCTAAAAAGTAAAGGCTCAAATATTATTGAGATTTGGCAGTAATTTATGGGATGATTCAACAGTTTGACTTGACACAGGTATTACAAAGCCTTATGTGTCTTAACATTTTGGGCCCGATTACTAACATCCTAAAGAAAGAGTACTAAATTGCGTGTGCATTCTAAAATAATGCATGTGTAATTGTAGTACCTGTTATGGGTGATTTACTAAGAATTATTGCGTAGATGACAACAGGAGCAAACACAGTGGAGGTGGTAAATGAGGGTTTTGCGTGTTTTAATGGTTTCCACTATGGAGAGTCAGGAGGGAAAGCAGCCACAGCGTAAAAACCTTGGTTTGTTTCATTCAGTGCCTCCCGAGTATGTGGAAATCATATGAACCTGCCCATCCTGCCTAAGATTGTTGAAGTACTTAGGACAGCACACCTGAAAAACTGCTATGGGAAACCCCAGCAGAAAAAGCTACAGTATACTGGAATGACCCAAACACGAGGAAATGCCAGCAGATCATGCTTCATCCAGCCAGAGGGAACAATCACCGACCGTCCGCACCGTGCCCGGTCGCTCCAAGATCTCCTGTTTGTTCCCTCTGACTGGATGAATTTTACACATGATTCAAGCACCACTGCAGCTGCGGGTTCTCCACAGCGCCATGCAACTTTCTAAATTCTTCCATCTCAAGGAGAAAAGAAGTCAGGTCAAAACGAATTTTGCTGTATTGGCATGAATGTTAATACAACAGCAAAAAACCCCTATTCAATTCATATAGTTCATCGAATAAATTGGATATAGAATAATATCTAATATTGTTAATTTCACTATGTCTTCTTTCATTACAGCTGTGTCTCCTTCTGGCAACAATAACAGCAGCCATCTCTGCGCAACACTTGCCGGTTTGCACCTTCTTTTCAAACGTATTAAATACAGATGCTGTTGCACTCACATAAAATTGCGTTTAGGCTTGGTAGATCACATTGTGTGTAGTAAATAAAGGTATTTGCATGTTACCCTCCCAATATTTTGCACAATAAAATTGAAACGCCCCTAATTGCATATTCATTAAGGCAAAAGTAGTAAATGAACAACAGGTGTTATCTTGCACTTTTGAAAGACGTCACTCTGTGTGCACACTGTAGAACAGCTTACATGTTAATTTGCTGGTGATATCAAGTTTGCACATGTTCTTACTCACGCAAATCTTTAGTAAATCTGGCCCTATGTGTACTCCCTTTACATGTAAGTAGACAATAGATTACCAAATAATAATAAAAAACAACAAAGCTGAAAATAACCGCACATTTGCTAAAATGCCACACAATAATAATGTTTGATTTTTGACTTTATGCTACAAATATAAGTGACAGATAAGCTCAGTTTTATGTTAATTATGAATGACTTGAAGTTGCACCACAGACCAGAAGTACAACACTATTTCCATCGCTGGACATGTGTCTTTACCTCGTGGGTTTTGAAGAACGGGGAGATCTCCAGAGTGTCTCTGATTTCCTCCAGCCTGCTTAGATAACTCCTCTGGAAAAAAACAGCAACACACAAGCTTTTATATTTTGTTCACACAGTTCTGCCCACTTTTGATGCAGACAGTTTTTTGTTTATATTAGAACTGGGCTGCTAATCTGGGCAAACAATAAACTCCACTTGAAGTGGAGCTATATGATCTATTCTCATTTAAATAAAAACAAAAAAAGAATGTGGGTATGTGTAAAGAGGCTGAGGGAGTTCCCAAGGACTTCCCTTTTCTTCTGACCTAGGTCACATTGTGTATGTGTGCATCTGTGTATGTACATGTGTGTATCTGTGTTTCCCATGGGGTGAAAACAGAACAGTTACCTTAAATTTCCATTCTTCGTCTGTTTTTCTGTCCCAGTGGTCAAGGCTACCGACACTCACACACATAGTACACTACCAGCACACTCACCAGTATGTCCTTATTTCCTCTGACAAAGTCATGGAAGGCTGAAATAACTTGGTCTCTTGTCTTTGTTTTCTTAAAATCTCTGTTCACTGTCCCGTCCTCCTTCTACAGATGAGAGGAGAGGGTAGTATTAGACAAAATATCATTCAGGGATCATTAGGGTGTAAATAAAAGTTCATATTTAGTACATCAACACTCTGTCCTCATAAACCACAACTTCCAGACAGGAGGGACGGGAGCGTAGCAGAGGATGGGAAGATAGAAAGGAGCAGCAGCAGAGGAGAGGATGGCCAAGAAAAGCAGAACAAACAATGAGAATAGGAAAAGATATTTTTAGAGATTTAGCCTTAAAGCAAGGAAGGGTCTTTGACTCTGTTTTACTGACCAGGGCCATATTCAGAAACTGTTTATTTCAAATTCACACACTTGAAATTTTGATACGACAACTGACAATTATTTTCAGAATGAATGCGTCTATTGATTTGTATTGTTAATAAATGTATTCATTGTTTAATCTATACATTTTCAGAAAGTAGTGACATATGTCCATCCCTGTTTCCTAGAATCCATGGTGACATACTCAAATTGCTTGTTTTGTCTTTCCACCAACAGGTTCAAGATAATCAAAAAAATCAATTGTCAAAATAGCTGCCACTTTATTTTTCTGTTGATCGACTGCTGAGTAATCATTTCAGCCTTTATGGGTCTGATGGTGTTATGTGACCTGCAGCTCTGACTTTTGCCAATACACCAACATCGAGTCAATGCAGAGTTCTGTCTCTGGGGTCCTGAGCTTTTTGTTATTTTCTTGTAAAATGCTGTGGAAAGTCTCACAAAAAGGACATAATCAAGCAAAGCAGTAGTAAAGTAGGTTAGTATCAAGCAGTACCAGCAGTGGTAACCAACCATGTGGTTCAGAGTGGAATAAATGAGCTTTTCTTATTCTGCTGGCTGCCAGGCAACAAGGTCCTATTTGGAGCCAAAACTATTTTTCCCTTTATGGTTCAGGTCTGACCAAAGCTAGAGCCCTCTCTCTGTCTTTCACACACACACACACACACACACACACACACATACATTTGATAGTTTATTTGATTCCGCAATACAGTCCCAGTCCGATGTATTCAAGCAGATCACCCTTCATCATGGGTGCACAGTTTTTAAGGTTAATATAAACATGCTCCCTATGACTGCTGATATGGAACAGTACTTTTGTGTAGCCCACTAATGCGAAGTCCACGTACCATCAGCCTGCCAGAGCCTGATATTTTAATATGACTGTACTGTACAACTTTTTATTAAAGAAGATGGTGACAATGTCAGGTGTATTGGCAATTTCACAGAAAGTTTCTGGAGGAGAGTTAAAGAGGTGGTATTATGCTCATTTTCAGGTATAAAATGTTATTTAAAGGTTGTACCAGAACAGGTTTACATGGATTAATTTTCAAAAAAACACCATATTTTTTGTCATACTGCACATTGCTGCAGTTCCTCTTTTCACCCTGTGTTGAAGGCTTTGTTTTGGCTACACATCTTGTCTCTAAATTATCTTTGTTGGGAGTTGCACATGTGCAGTTCCTAGTTAAGGACTACTAGCCAATCAGAAGCAGAGAAAGGTGGGTCAGCGAAAAGACTGTAAACAGCTTCGATTCAGCGGTAGGCTACATGTTGCCGACCAGGTTGGCAATATGGACTGGAGCAAGAGTGGTGAGTTATTAATCTGTAACAAAAGTGTCTTTCATCCATAAAGTTTTAACTTGAGCTCTGTCTCTACATCACAGTAACAACTTCATGTCCATTTTATGTTTTACATCTGACAATAGCTAGAGCTCTCTCTCTGTCCTTCACACACACACACACACACACACACACACACACACACACACACACTTATATAATATACAGTATATATAATATAGTTACACAGATGCACATTCACATTTACAAAAAGAGAGGTGACATTGCACACACACACGCCTCTGTTTCTGGGGATAACCCTCAGTGTCATGGCAACAGACCACAGGGAGGCTGTGAATGTCCTTATATAGCAGCAACCCTCAAATAAAGACAGCCGAGACCTAGCGTGTGTGTGTGTGTCCAATGTCAGTGCCAGATGCCAAGGCATATAGAGAGCTGCCACGGGCAGGCCTCATGTATGACAAAGGAACTCATGCGCAAATGCATACTTCAGAGGAAGTTTCTGTTCAAAACAAGAAGTGAGATCATGCCCTTGAAGGACACATATCCCCCAACACAGAGACACACACTGAATACTAGAAGAAAAGAGGGAAGGAAGGCTGCACACACACACAAACACACACACCTTTCTCTTTGAGTCTTACCTTGACTCCCTCTATCCTAAATCCCAGGGTGGCTGTTGAGCTTATGGTCTCCCTCCACTGCATGTATCTGGGTTTGGTTACCACCTTCTGGTTGTTTTCCTCTGGTGTGGGCGCCTCAGGATCAACCTCGATCATTTTCTGATACATGTCGGGCCTCGGGGAGGGCTTCTTACGAGCCTTGGTCAACTCTTCCTCAAGGTAGGTCCTGAAGCGTGAGAAAAAACAGGTGGTACAACATGAGCACCGAGACGTAGGAGGACAAGGCAGAGATGGGCAGAGTGTGTGAAAGAGAAGGTGTGAAGAAGACATCCCTTCTAGAAACAGTATGACACAGCTGCTCACAGTAGCCTTTAATCTAGAGATATTTGCTGCTTAATGGCTGTTAAAGGATCATTCTCATTTACTGCAGTTTAGGTGTTTATATTTTTGTAATTTTGGCCACTATTACCATTGGTAATAATGACCTTTTATTCACCAAGCTAAGTGCTAAAATCTGGGAATGCAGCGACAAAGGCTTTAAAGAAAAAGAAATTCCCCAAACTGTCACTTTTAAACAGTTTACAGACCGACTTCCTGGCTCAACTTTGATCTCAATGACTCACCATAGTTTACACAGCTGTTGTGTGTATGAGGGATAATGAAAGAAGTTTTGAACTCCAAATAAAAAAGTGAATGCTTGGGTTTGTTGGAGCGCTGTCGCCAAATTTCCACATCTCAGAAATGTTAGAATTTTTTTCACTAGATTATTATCATTATCAATTTCAAATGATGGCCAAAACTACAAAAACAAAGAGTTAAAATACAAATTAAATTGTCTATCTCACTGCAGATTAAAGAAACACAGACATATTTGTAGTTTGTTGTGAAAGTCTGTGGGATATCACAGTAAAGTACATGAAAGTGAATCTATCATTGTTTTGTACCCACAACCCTGCCATCTAACGATTTACGTGATGTCACGACATGTGATGTGTCTTCTCACCTTACTCCCATTTTACAGTCCATCACACACGGGAAGTCAAACTCAGCCAGCAGATCCTCCATCTGGTTGTATTTCTGGCCGTCCTTCTCTACGTCTCCATGGTAACCGGGGACATATGGGCGCAGCACGTCCCTCATCAGGAGGGACAAGCAGCGCTGCTCGCAATCACAGTGTTTCTAAAGGATATCAACATCAGTATTAACGATATGTAGAACCTCTCTAAACCAGAATGTATCAGAGCAATTTTCCATGCAATGACAAAGAAGGTGTGATTGATGTTAAAGAGCGTCTTACTTTTAGTATACGGCCGTTGGCTCCGGCCTTAAAGCTCCCTGTAAAAAGACACACTTTTACTGATTGGAAGTAGCTTGGTTTAAGTTAGTCAGGGTTAAAGTGAGGTTAGAAGTTGGGGTATAAGTGAACTGGTTAGAGCTGCATGCTCTTATTTTTATTTGGCTGAGCCTCCAACCTTCAAGACACCTTTGAAGGATAGGTTTCCCAGTCCTGTTGCTAACCATTGCCACAAACACTTTCCCTTAGCACCAAAGACAGACTCGTGTTGACTCACATCTCCTTTACAAAATTGCACAAAGGCCAGCTGACCATCAAAATGCATGTATGATATGAGCCTGTGTGAGAGGAAATAATCAGTAAGTTGTGTGTGTTCTTAATCCTAAAAAACATCCTAGACATACAAACTAAATGTAGCAAACTATTTTTTTCGGCTAGAGTATTGTCTTGGCCTTAGATTTTTGTTTTGATTCTTATGCAACATTTGATTTGTGTGTCCACATACCTGCGTGCCCAGCCAGTTGTATCCAGGGATATTTCTTCTTGAAGGACATGACGAACGGTGACCAGTGGACCATGTTCTTAATCTTCTTCCAAGACTTGTGCTACAAACACAAAAGCACAAAACATAAGTGACTATCCTTCTGATTGATGCTTCACCAGCAATCCATCAAAATGTTTAAACCACACTGTTTTAAAAAATTATTGAGTTTGTTGTACGTTGTTGTGTTTGGTTATACAAACTAATTGGATCTGGATTTTGAAGACATGCGATATGGTGACAGTATGAGTAGGAGTTTTCCAACTCAACAAACTTTCTAAAACATGAACGGATGCCAGTCTAGCGCCATCTTAAAATCAGCCAGGAAACAAAAGTTCTCCTCTGAAACTTTTGGCTGATCCACAGCTTTTTTAAGGTTTCGTTTAGTGGCCATGAGCAAAACAAGTCTTTAAAACACACACACGCACGCACACATACACTGTGGATCATCCCTGACCTTGGGGGAGCTGTTTTCAATCTCTCTCTGCCAGGTTCTCCCACACTCTCTTTTTTCTTCTTTTTCTTTTTTGCTGTTTCAGAACACTAAACTCTGGAGGATAGAGCTGGGGTTTCCCCTGGTAACACACACACACACACACACACACACACACACACACACACACACACACATTTCTCCAAGGGCTCTCCCTGTCCCTGGCAAGGATACATTGAACTGCGGGACTCGTGCCACATGCACAAACAAACACACATAAACTCATTCACAGACTGAGAGATAATGCTGTCTCCGACACACAAACACACACAAGCACGTTTTTTTCAACATCAACAGCTTTTATCTCAGTGACCACAGACTGACCGATGGCTAGTTCTCCCTTTCTCCAGCTCCCCATCCCAGTTCTCTGTCTTTGTGATGGAAAGACTTTGTTTCTACAGACGTATCAATATTTAACTGTAGAAGAAAGACATGTTAAACTCTCTAAAAGTACTGTTTGTTCCCTGCATAACAATAACTGTTATGTTTACTTGATAAATATGTGAGTTAAGTTATACAGTTAAAAATGTATTTGAAGAACAAGAAGTGTAATATATTCAGATGAGCAAAAACACGAGGCGAAAGATCCTTTTCTTTAGATGGAACACTTTCTATTGCCCCTTACAGTTAAGAACAAAACCCCTCTTTTCCTTATGAACACTAATATTCACTTAGTTGTCCTATAAGTAGATGTATTATGTGCTAATTCTGCTGCATGTGGAATACCTTTTTGAAGCTACAGTAAATCACACTCTTATTGAATGAAATATTCAAACCAAAGACACCATTTTTTTATGCCTGCAGCATTACATCAGATGGAAAAACTCCAGATGTCTTGTTCTGTGGGTTTAAACAATGCGTGGCTGTGCAACAGTGTAACAGAGCTACCAGTGGATGCAGCTGCACTAAAAACTGAGAAATGTTTTCTATTAAAAACATGTTAGAAATGCTTCGAACTGAATTTATATTTGATTTTAAAACAAAACACAAACACTTCAATCCAAATTACATTGTAATAGATGTAAAATCCACCCTTCAAGTATCACATCTGGTCAGTGAATGCATCTTGTGTAATACAATATTATATATAATTCTGAAATCTCCTGTTCCACACAGGTGCATAATATCCTCTACATGTTATTGTTGTGATCTCACACACAGAAGGTTTTTCTCTGGCAGGCAAATACCAGGAGAAATAATATTATGTCCACAAATAACCACAGACGAGAAGAAAAGAAAGGAGAGGAGCGGAAGGATAAGATAAAATAAGATGAGTAAGAAGAGGACCATAGAAGGAGATATATAACCCATGTCACATAATCTGGACCTGATGAAAATTCATCAGCTGATAGCATGACTATCTATGGTTAGATGCAGGCACACACACACACACTCAGACACACACTTTTCCATCTCTTTCCCTCTCTCTGTCTAAAGGATTGAAGAGTCACATGAGGGTTTTTTTTTCTGCACCACTGAAGGAGAGAAAAAGAAAAGTAAAACACACACATGGTGGATCACATGGTGGAAACTAACTGCACGTTGGGTCAGCTGAATTGTGTCTCAGAGAGAGGCAAGACCCTGGAATATCATACGGATTACTCACATGTGCAACAAAATGCAACAATAGCAAGTCTGGTAGCAAAGGTCAATATTTCTAGAAGTCTACTGAATTGATTTCTTGGATGCAAATCCTCTGAAATTATTCCGTGCTTCAGGTTGTCTAAAAACAGGAGGGTTTGAAATGGAAAGGTTCAGTGTGATTTAAAGTAAGATGACGGAGGCCTGGAGGCAAAAGGTAATATCCAGTGGATGCGTGCACAGTAATGGTCAGCTTCCTCTGAATGAACAAAGGTTGAAATGAAACAAAAATCTAAAAAACTCTTGCGCCAGCTGACAGATTTCAATCACTGTTTCTGGCTTCTAGTTACAGGAAACACAACACTGATTAAGTTTTTTAGACCATCAGAAAACCACTAATAAGTTAAACTGAATAGTATTCCCCTTCTCATCTTTTCCACCATCTTTAGCCAGTTAGCAAGAGAGCAAGAGTATCAGGCTACACCTTGGTAAGTAGCCAAGGCCTTGCACTTTCTCTGTCAACTCAGACTGTCATCTATCCACCATGTTGCCCACTTACAGCTGGTGTGTGTGTGTGCGTGTGTGTGTGTGTGTGTGTGTGTGTGTGTGTGTGTGTGTGTGTGTATGTGTGAGCTGTGAAGGGCAAGAGAGAGAAAAAGAAAAGAGAAAGTCTGGACTATCTCAGGTGTCAGTAATAACAGACATCGTCACAGTGAAGATTTAGAAGCTAGAGACATTAAAATGCAATCAGAGGAGAGGAGATGTTTGATTTGTGTGTAATGGAAAAACTATAACCAGCATTATTATTGCTCAATAAAATCTACCTCCAAAGGTAGGGCTGTCAAACATCCCTAAACAAGGGCTAAATCCAGGTATGAAAAGCATTCTGCCACAGCAATTACAAGCCTGAAACAAAAGTACCTGAAGGTGGCTGGTGCAGAGGTGGATGATGGTAATGATAAAGATGGCTCCGACAGACACAACAACACTCCACACTGAACACAGCCATGCATTCCACATCAGGCCGATGGGCTTTCTGTTTGACAAGTTGACAAACTGACAAACTGATTATCTGTCCAGCTCTCCTGCAAAACGTAGCCAAACTCTCTGCCTCTCTCTGGTTTAAAAACTTTGCCCCACCGCAAGATTTACACGCCCGAGTGTGTGCACTGATAAACAATTGTGGACCATTTGATTACCAAAACAGTGGACATACATAATGTGGACATGCAAATCTCCATCTCCAGGTCACAACATTTGAAAGACACAGACGTAGCTAAGTGTGCGTGACTGGGTGTGTAAATGTGAATTCACCTGAGGGAAATGTTGAGGCTTTGTGGAAAAAAGCAAACTAAACCTGTACGTTCATACACATTTTTCTGCTTATATATGTATATTTATATATATATGAGTATGCATGCGTACATTTGTGTAAGAATGTGTCTTCAGTACGGCTCTGAAGTTACAACACGAGCTAAAATAGACAAAAGGAAACATCCTAAACAGCAGCGCCCACGCGTTCTATGCTTAGCTGATGAAGCTACTACGGTGCCTGGGTGCGACAGTGTACAGTAAACTACATCTGAGGTTTTAGGAAGTCAAATCTAGCCATGCACATAAATGCATTTTTCATGTGTGATTTTTCACGTGTACTGACTGTACTAATTAAAAAATGGGTCTAAGATATTCATACAGCAGCTTGCGAAACTAATTTCACAGCTGGCAGATGACAATCGCCTGCTGTGAGTCTGTGAAAATATAATTTGCATGAATGTTTCCAAAAGTGTGCAACGTAGATAAAAATTGCTCATGGAAAGTCAAGTTTAAAAAGATTTAACAGCCATGATTTGTGTAGAAAAATATTTGCATTTATTTGTCCATGTTGTTTCAAGAATACAATAAAGGTTTAAGTAAAGAAAGCGCCGGACCATGTGTGAGCACTACATATTACGTCCGAGATTTACTATCCAGGTAAAGTAAATCTGTCCAGTCCCATCAGAGGAATGGTTCCTAGAAATAGCTCTCCTTTGCTGTCATGTTGTGCCTTTTTCACTAATTGAATTGAAGGATAATACTAAATCTTTTTTAAAGTAATTCTGGTCTGTCCAAACAGTCTATATGCAGTACTGTCTTCCTGGACCTTAACAGAAGTCATTTGCCGCTGTTTATTCCTTTACTGCATGAAACATAACTTTGACTGACTTGAAAATTGCCTTTCCTAGATGATCCATCTGAATAACCACAGAGCCTTAATTTGGTATCGTCAGTCTCTCTGTTTTAGTGTTTTCCCATATCAGTGTGTGCATTTTTTTTGCACTGTGCTGACTGTCAATCATCAGACACCCACAGGAAGAAATGGATGTCTCCAGCAGGAATTAGTTTCCTCGAAGCAAACTGTTCAAACTCTGCAGCTCCATGGAGTTTATTGTCAGTGCTTAATAGTCAGACAAATGTCTTACTATTATGTCGTATTTGTTATGGTGACTGTTTTAAAATTACTTAAAAATTTGGCATTTTTCTTAAATGAGCAAAGCTGGACAGCAACCTGAAACTGGAATACAATTCACAAAGGTGTATGAATTGGCCAAAATGTCAACTCTCTGTCTCTCTGCCTAAAACCCCTCAAAGTCGGCCTCTCTGTCTCATCTTATTCTGGCTCATTGCTCTCCAGCGGTCTCTCTGTCTCTCCTATCTCTATCCCCAGACCAGCTGGATGACAAGCGGAGAGCAGGAAAAACAGTAAAGTTTCCATTGAGAGGGAGAGAGAGAGAGGGAGAGAGAGAGAGAGAGAGAGAGAGAGAGGAAACGGCAAGAGAAGGAACTTCTTGCAGACAGGAAGTGGGGGGGGTTGCCGCTTGCCTCAGCGACAGTATTTTCCACATCCGCTGACTACAAACAAAAAAAAGAAAGAAAAAAGGCCTTGCCCTCTGTAAACAACCGAATGAGCATGGAGGAAAAAAGAAGCACTGAGTTTCAATTTCCCCCTTCAT